GAATATCCACCGGTCAGTTCACGTCAAATTAATCATATGGTCAAACTTGATGATGTGGCTCTAGGACACAGGGTGTGAAGACAGCTTTCTATAGCACAGCTGGTGCACCCTAAGAAGCTGATGTTAAAATAGGGACTTGTCTTAAGTTGTTACGTTGAACATACACATGTAGATTCTTCAAAATTACAAAATTCAGGGTTTTTGAACCTTGCCATTGTCACAGCTGGATGGCCCTGTGTGTGCTGTGTTAGATAACTTATAGTGTGCTCAATGTGGGCACTGTATATCACTGGGTAACACAGGGTGTAAGAAGATGGCCAATATGTGTTAATGCTGTAAAAGGTTGTAACTGCTGCTGCCCGAATAGCTGACAATTCTCTTGGTTGGAAAATAAAATGGAGATCGAGGGAGAGATAGAAGTAATTGATATTTTGAGGGTGAGTGATTTTTCAAAAAAAATGGCGGATTAATCTTAAATTGGACATTGTATCTGCATAGCAAAACCACTGATTGATTGATTGATTATTTTGAGAGATTGATAGACCATACGAGAGCAGCCATTCCTAACTGCAGCCACCTAAAATTAACTTCATTTAGTTGTGTCGTGTTTAAATCGGAATTCAATTGGTGAGATTGGATTTCTTTTGGATAGATCTATTTTTTATTGCTGTTTTATTATGTGGTACATTGGGCGGGGCTACACCCATAGAAAATAATATAAAAGGAAACTGATCCATTTACTAGTATTTGGTTGGGTATTTCCAAAAAAAAGTACTATAATTGATACAGGCTGCTGCTGAAATTACTTTTCTACTTTCTTTGTTATTGGGTGGAGTTAAAACTTCTATTTAACGGAATTTGTTTTGTTTTGAACTGTGGCAAAACTGAAAAGAAAAATTCTCACCGTAACAATAGTTATTATTTCCCCAAGACCTGAAATGATGTATCATTTTATCCTCAGCTTTAGGAATTGGTAGTAAACCTGTCCTCGACCCCGTAGAAAGTTACAGAGTATTGTGGTTTTGGCACAGTTTACAATGAGACCGTGTTAACATTGAATTTAAATTTGTATTACTTAAGAGGGCGGGTATGACTAGATATTCCCAGACAAGAGAATGATAATCGGAATGATTCCTCTTTATAATTGTTCACATTCGTGTCTTCTTGATATTATCTGTGAATTTATTAATCACACTGGGGACTTTTATGTATATATCTGTTAGTCACAGTGTCTCCCATCTCTGGAGATAATCGAGATGGGCATCTTCTTGATGTTATGAAGTACAGGCATGACACAGCTCCTGCATTAAGGGCATTGACAGCATTTTGAAAACGTGATGGGGGAAATGTCACTGATGCTGAATTGAAGCAAATCTGACGCTTGCATACATCTTTGATATACTTGAGGCGTGTATGTGCACATGCCTGCACGCGTGCGTGTGTTGGGGGGGGGGGGGTCGCACTGTCCCTAGTATTCATGGATTTAAAGTGGATGTTGAACACACACATACACACAGAGAGGAGAGAGAGATTATGAAAAAAAAAAAAGAAATATTCCTTTAATGTGTACGAAGACCCAGTTGCTTCATAATCATAATAATTTATCACCATAAGTTTTTGTTTTGTCATAACATATACAACTTAACTAGGCATATTCAAACAATAAAGCAGTTAGGCAAGAAAAACATTGACTATTTAACTGGCTGAGACAGTTATCTTTCCCTGCACGCGCCAGAGATTGCAAGTTTTGACCATTTCTGATTGAATATCAGCATGTTTTTCTGGAGGTAGGGAATTGATCTGGTTGTTGCAGATTAAGGAAATGTATTTGGAGTGGACAGTGGTGACCAAAACTTGGGGCTTAGATAATCAGCCATTGGATTAAAGAGCTGAAAATGAATAAGTTATTTCAGAACTATTCTGAGGTCTCTCTTTTCTGTTGAATAATATTTGAAGTTACCCATTCCTCTGTTTCCTGACATATATAAACTGTATAAGTTTTTACAGCAGAATAAACCGCTCATCTTTCAAAGGAATTAAGGTATCCGGTTACTTCCTTGTCTACTGTACCCCATAGCCCCACCCTTGTTCAGCTGTTACAAACTCTGCATTCCTTCTGGTCAATAGACTGTGAAAACAGTACCAAACCCCGGGTGACTCAGGGTGCTGGTTGGTTATAGGGAAGTGCATGTTGTCCCTGTTCACTGAATTGAGTAAAAATGGGCCAACCCACCCAAGGACCTTTGTGGCTTGATGAAGTTATGTTACCCTAGTTCATCTGAGTTGAATTCATTAGAGACATTGTTGATTAGTGATTTTAGCAAGGCTTTAAAAAAAGTCTATGTGTTTGTGAATTTATGAAAACTTGGGTCAAAGTGAGTGAAATGCTAGATTTTCTTTTTTTTTTGTTGTATAAAAGAAAAGTTTATTCATTTGAAATACAGTTGAAATAAACAGTCCATTAGGGACTAGTCCAAGGCAATTTCCCACCTATAGTAAAGAAGTTCCAATTTAATTTAACATAAGCCCACTTTTATATCCAGACTGCACAAAGGGCTAGTAGCTTAAAAAGTTTTTGGCACTGACTGAAACAACATTGTTTATATCAAAGGAATAATGGGGGGAGGGGGGGTGGACAGAAAATAACCTGCAAAATAATCTCCTCCAGACCATTCATGAAAATGGGGAGTCATTGCAAGTTTTATTGGCAAGATACCCGATACCAGTAAATAAAGACCCTATGGTTATCAGGAACTGCCAGGTCTAATAAGCTTCCATTTACACTAGGACCTTAAAATATCCCAGCTTCTTTTTCCTGTGTATTTTGTCTGTCACTTGCGTCTTTATTTCCTGTGTGTCTCTGTCTGGGAGGTTGAAAGCAGTGGACTTGGGTTACAGGTGACCTCTCTATCCAATGTACACCTGACGTGACTCTACTGGTTAAGGGGTGTATGTTGTCGCCTGTTTGGAGATTGGGGTGTGTCGAAGAGTTAAGTCTCAGCAGGAATGTGGCATTTAATTCTGATGTATTTACAGTTCTATTAATCACTAAATTTGAACAAATATGATTGATATTCAGTATAGTGGTTTGTCAGTAATTTACCTGGAAGGGATTTTTTGAAAGACAGGTGAAAAAGCAAGATGGATTTGTTTAAAAAAAGGATGTTACTTTATTTCTCTCTTTTGTCCTTTTTTGTATTGGTGAATATAGATGGATATTGTGAAAAAAAATAAACATCTTAGTTTAAGAGTTGAGAGTTTGAAATATTCAGATTATGGGTTCCAAGCCCTTCCCCCCCCCCCCCCTTCACCTTTGACAGTCAACAGGCCATATTTTGTATTACACTCGCATTTTGCTGATTTGCTCTCTGATACAAACAAGCCATATTTAGTTACTTTTGTATCCATAAATGCATGCAATATTGGTGTAGAATTGCCACCTGTCACGCAACTGTCTCATCAATTATTTAATGTAATAAAAATTTATTTTACTTCTTTTAACTTATTCCTTGGGCTTAAAAATGTCATGAAAATAGTTCATTAGAAGACCACCAGGCCACATTTTGTTTCAGGTTTTTTCCTTTTAGCAAAGTATTATGGCTGTAGTACATAATTAGGTAATTATGGCAAGGCATGAACAGCCTTACTGAACCCAAAACACCTAATTTGTGAAGGTCATTAAACTCCAGTCTAGCAAAGAGTACCTGTCTTAAGAATGATCCTGAAATCTGTTTTATACATGATTTAGATATTAAGTTCATTTATCAAGGTTTCAGACTAATGAGGGATTGTTTAAATCTTCTCTGACAGCTGGGGTTCTCTGTCTTGATATTAATGAGCTTTAAAAATGAAAGGAAGTATTTTTTTCGAGTTTGCTGTAATGTCTAGAAAAAAATCGATTTTTTGTGGAATAACAAATAAGCTGGGGGTTTCAGCTTTAGGAGGAAGAAAAATAAAAGTCGAGCTTCCCCCCCTGCCAGTTATCAAGATTAACGAGAGATTGAGATTTTGTTTTAATCCCCTGCTTGGTTACATAAGACCTAGGGCCGCTTTGATCTAACATCACCTGTTCAGGTATGAATACAGGTGAGCGAGGACATACTCATTTACCTGCTAATCTTGGCATTCATTAGGGCAAATTAGAATTAGAATTCTCCTTAACTGAGTAACAACTTTGTTCTGCTACAACGGTCCATTGTGTGCTTGTGTGTGGTTGTGTCTTTTAATTACTGTTGATTGCTGTTGCCCAAACAGAGTGATTTTGTCACACTTAGATATAAATACCTGCAAAACTTGACAGGTAAATAGTTCCAGAAGCTATGTTTACTTTATGTTTTGTGGAAACAGTTGGGGTTTCATGTCTGGACATTGTTTCACAAAGAAACTGAAGTAGAAAATTGGTGTTTTAACTGGAAGACAGACAAGTTGACGTCTGCCTAGAGGCTGGATACATTTGTAGTGGTCTGCTGGAATTAAACAACTATCCGTGTACATGGCTTTTTAATCTTGAATATGAGCCAGTTCTTTTTGTTGTTAAACAGACTCAACAAGAGCTTCATTCCAAAAAAAAGAAAAGAAAAAAAATGTTCAAAATGTAGAATTTTTGGGGGGCTGAATTAGTTTTTTTTTTTTTTTAAATCAATGACACATTATATTTACAAGTATATGAGGGTATAAACCAAGTGTGTCATCAGTGAACTTTGGATATATTTCCATTACAAAAAAGAAAGCCTCTTCTTAGAATTCCCCCATGAAGAAAGCCACACTGTCCTTTATCTGTCTCACTTAGGTGACATTTAACTGCATACTTCCATTGAAGCAAATGATTGTATGGAGTAAGATTACAAATAAATCCTGTGTGTTTGTGTGTGCCCCGGAAAGGGGCGTGGTGTCACCCCAATCATGGCTATTGATTTTTCGTCCATTGAGTCACATCACCTCGTTTAGTCATTAAGTCTCTCGCCTGACTGTGCATAGTCAGGGGGACAATCATAGCTTTGGTGCACACGACTCTCCATTTGCACAGTGGTTATTTACCTGTGGTAGTATAACACAGCATATATATAGGGGAGCCTTGTACTGTGCTACATGTTCCTATCTCTGATGGTATCTTTCTACCTTATGAAAGGAGTCACTGATGCTCATAGCTATCCTCGCTCCTGGCCACAAAGTAAATGGGTCACTTCCCGGGCCATGGATAGCGTGTGACGTGTCCAGGTTGGTTTCACAGGCAGATGAATAGTTAAGCAGTGAATGGGTCGTAAATATTCATGAGGAGACCAGAGAATATGTGTGTCAGTGTGTGTGTGACGGCCATACGGAATAATACATACCACTTGTGACCAGTTGGTAGAGGAAGACTGGAAGAGAGTACGTCGTCTTTTGGACGGAACATCTGTTAGAGGTGGAAAGTGGAAAATACACATGGCGGCCATGGTTTGACGTCAGTTAGATAGTGCCAGCAGCCACAACGTAGGAACACCGCAGATAGGAGTTTAAAAAAAGGCACAGCAGTTGATTTGTGTGGAAGGCATAGATCGCTCATATGTTATGTGCAGTTCTGTATATTGGATGCCACCCGTATACAACAACCTGAGAGAGCTATACTATACTGTATTGTTGATCATTTTGATTTAATATCTCAAGTGCCTTATAACCTATAAGTAGTTGTATGTAGGTGGCATTTTGTATAGAGGTTGATTGGGGATACATATTTTTGAATCTACTGGAATACACCATCCATCAAGGAATCTACCAGTACCAATTTACCAGGATTCTATACAGAAGGAGAATTGAATATTAGAGAGAATCTTTCATTTCATGATAATATTATAGGAGAGAGATCCAGTATGATACAGTTAAATGGATATCATCACAACCCCTATATGGTATACCAGGGGGCCTCAGGGAATCCTAAGGGTGGGGCACCAGGGCCCTCCCCCAGGGTTGGAGGGGAACCCCCAGGGAGGGGGCTAGGACCCTCACCCAGAGGGACTGGGCCACCCCCCGCCAGGGGTCTCCCGGGGCCCTCACCGAGAATGAACGGGGCCCCTCCTAGATTTGGAGGGCCGAGATTCTTGTCCAGTCAACAAATGTATACTTTACAGCAACCGCCACAGAAAAAACAACAGGTGCCTAAAAAGGTAAAATTATTTTTTGTAGAGTTGTGTGTTAACTCAAAATTTTTATTTTATCTACAATTTTGTGACATTTTGCATGCTTTAGGCTGAACAAATTAGGAATTTATTCTGGATTTGGCATATCAACTGTATGTAACATAAACCCTGTTATTGTTGATAGCTGTCTTGATGTTCACCCAGTTTCCTTGGTTTGTGAATGTAATCAGATATGAATAGTATTGCCAGCAAGTGGAACTTGAGACATACCTCAGGTATTGAGTTCTATTGTGGGGTATTATAGCCACTGTGTCCATTGTCCCGTGTGTCCATTGTGGTGTCCAGTGGCAGTCATTATTTTGGCCAGTCTGCACGCACCTGTGGTCACTCAAGAGAAACGTACAACTTAGATTGCAAAAAAAAGTTAGGTACCAGAGACATTCAATATCTGAGCCAATTCAGTGGATAAACAGATTTAAAAATTGGCTTTAGTTGTTGAATAAGTCTCTCACTAATATCTTATTAGTTAACACTGAACTGTGGCTAGTGGTCATCTATTTCTGGGTCAGTCTAGGGTCAGTGCTCAGGTAATTGGACCCAGCAGGTGGTCACTACACATAAATCAAACTTTGGGAGTTTCTTAATATCCAAGGTGTTGTTGTTGAAGGGAACACAGATGGGAGTTTAATATGTCTGTCTAGCTGTATATCTTTTTGATTTATATTATGTCTGTGGTTAAGTGTGCTGTGTATGATCAATATTTTATCGTATAACACCCGTATTTTTGGGTTTCACCTGATTTGAGAGCTTACTAGAGAACGATCTCCAACTTGAATATTTCCAGCACATAACTTAGTTGCTGCAGTGATATTGATAGGTTAAAAAGAAAAAAGTTAGCAATAAAAAATGAGATGTATTGATTTGTTTTAATAGGCCTGCCTTGTTTCTTTAATTCACTTTTTTAGAGAAAACTGGAACCACGCTTTACTAGTTCTTCTAAAATTTTTCATGCTTAAATCCCACATAGTGTTTTCTCAGTTTTTTCCTTTGTCATTATGATTCTGGTATTCCCTCCAAGGGCAGAGAATGAAGTAGCAAGATCACGTTATATTTAGCATAGAGAGAGTATATAGTAGAGTGAAGTGTACATTGTGTGATGAAGTTTCATTTATCTTTTATATTCTCCTTTTCTCCTACCGAAAAGTGTAAGTCAGTATCTTATCCACTGTCTTGTTTTTTCTGTGAGGATTTTGAGGCTTCTATATAACATATACCCCGTTCACACTATGCTCAGTTATCCGGATAAATTGCGAATTAGGTCACAATTCGAATAAATGCAGTAGTGTGAACGCAAGAGGATTTTTGTAATGCGCATTTTCAAAATCCTGCAAGCGAGGTGGATTTCTAAGCGCGATCCGGATAACTTACCGGAATCGACACCTGTACAGATCTTACTGCGCATGTGTGCTGATAAGTGCGGATATCTATGAACGCTTGTTTATTACTTTAGCGATTGCACCAAACGTATTTGGAGGTCACCACTCACTACAACATGAGGAAACAAACTTATTTTGCCACCTTATACTTCTCAAGAATGCTGGAATGTCTTCTGAGTTGCATTTGTCGTCACAAATTTTTGTTGGTATTTTAAGATTTCCTGTGCGGCGCATGCGCGAGTGTTCAAAACAGGAAGTTAAACCTGAAATTTTCAACATGGGATTCGGATTCGCTTAGCGAGTGTGAACGCAATACCGAATCGGATTCCTTACGAAAAATCCAAATTATAGAAATGCGCATTTTGGCAACTGTAGTGTGAATGGGGTAATACTCTCATTAAAAATAAGTAACCATGAGTTTTTCCCCCCCTTTCAGAAGGAATCCCTCCCCCCCCCCTTCCTTCTTTTTAAAGTTGAAACTCTGTAATAACCTCAATGCTTTCCATGCCTGCTTACAATACATGAACACAATACTGCATATCACGGGCCCCCATATCATGTACCCTTACAATCAGAGGCCAAGTCACATTGTGAGTGGGAAATACTGTGGTGACCTTGTCATAGTAATTACCCTGTAGCACAGGGTGCACAGACAGGCTGTACCTTGTATGTTTTCTTCTTAATTGTTTTCACTAGCTTCTGAAGGTGATTGCTGAAACTTCAGTTTGCGTAACATCCCCTCACCCTAACCACCACCACCAGCACCACCACCTCACTTCTCTGTAGTGTTGGAGTTCAGTGGTTGACAAAGTTAGCTACAAATAAAAAACAAAACAGTTAACCCACTGTGAAAAAAAAAATTGAACGTGACCGAAAACATTCTCAGAGTTAGCTAGAAAGGGTATACTATGACCAGTGCTTATGCAGATCATTATACTTTTTTTTTTTGTGACATTATGAGACGGTTTGTTAATGCTCGTATGACATTATCAACCCTATTAAACTTTCTTCTCGGATGTCAAAACCTTCAGCTGGAAACATAAACTTGACATTTCTTCTAATCAATTTAGTGAAACGGATTAAATGTCAACCAGCCTAAGATGGTGTAAATGTGTCGCATTTGAGTACTTCAGAGATCTGTTTGGGTTTAATTGTTTCCTTGCATCTCATTATTTTTTCAAATTAGACTAAATTGCGCATAACTGCAGGATTCCATGGTGAGAATTCATCAAGAGATGTGTGATTTCGGTGTGGCAAGTGGGGATAAGTGTTTTTTGGGTCTGAATGTATGGAGCCACTTTTATTAGTAACAGATTTTTTTTCCTTGTAATAAAACCTGTTCCTCATTAAAACCACCCTTGGAAGCCTGTTTGTTTGTTCGTTTATCAAGGATAAGTTGAAGGAGGTACACATGCTGAAAAATCACAAATTAAAGAAAAAAAGGCCAGTGACACAAACAAAACAGATGTAGAAATGTACATATGGCTTAAATATGATATTTTAAAAGAATTTTGGTATTTTTCATTGATTCTTATTGAAATGATAACAGCAGTTTGTTTTTTAGTATAGAAAAATGATAACAGAAAGCCAAACTTGTAAGATTTTAGACAAATTCTGCAAATGGCAGTTTGTCTAAAAATTGTGTGCATTAGGCAGATAACTTTCTAAATATAGATTTATGGGGATAGCTGATTTGTAAGGTGGATTTTAGTAATAAGTTTTAAATATCAATAGAAAGTTTATCAGTTTTGGTAAGATAAACAAAAAGGAAATCGAGAGATTTTTTTACCTGATTCTTATGCAATGACACAGCAGTAATTGCTCAATCAACAGGAAGGAGTCTCCTATCACAAAAAAATCTGAAGCTAATTATGTGACAGAGTAAATTTGTGCAGTTTTTATCAGTGATGAGGACACAGGCTTCGCAATATCAGCAAATCAGAATATTTGTGAGACATCCTAAATGATTTCATCAAAGTTGGTGATGTCTATTTTATAATTCCATCAAAGGGGACATTATGTGACTGTATCATATGTAATTGGCTCAATTATCACTGGTTGTTGTGCATGTGGCTAGGAATAATTAGCCAGTCGCCAGACAAGATGGCTGCTTGGTTTTTTCCACCTGGTGGAATACAGACTTAATTTGACCAACATCTGGTCCAAGATTCTTGTATTCAGGTCAAGGTCACTAAGATAATTTTTGCTGATTTAATGTCAATTTGTTGTCATGCAACATTGAAAAAAGAATTTTAAGTGGACTTTCTTGAGTAGATTTTAAAAAATCTTTTGACCAAGTTGTGGAAAATATTTAGAAAAATTGCATTTCACGCCAAACCTGATAAATTGTCAACTTTTTAAAAATGTATTATAGATTTGTTATTTAATTTAGTATTTAATTTTGTTTAGTAATTTAGGAACATATTTTAAGCTTACCTGATCCCAGTCTTGTGAAAACCAGTCAGAAGTGGCAGATAAATGGCTTACAGGACATTAATACACATTTTATACTAGACAAATTGTGTAGAATGGAGCTGCCTTTACACAGGCCAAAAATTACAATCATTTTTGTGGAACAGCTCAGAGACTGTAGTTAATTAGGTATGAGGTGGATTTGTGCTGGGCTGGTGATTGTCTGACTGCTTGCAATTCCCATGATGGGTTCCATAAAGCTTGGATTTTAAACTTTTTTGAGTGAGAATTATATTTTAAAGATTCCTTTCATAATGAAGGGTTGAAGTCTTTTGTATTTAGTGAAGTAAGACATTTGATATCTCCTTACTGCTATATCTGCTCCTTGCAAAACTCTGACACAGAGCTATGTCTGCCAATCTCCCTCCTCCAGCGCAATCCTCCATTTTTCCATAAAACCCCCTTTACACTGGATGGCATCCTTTCTGCTTCCTTTGTGCGACCATGAAAACTGGCATCGCTGTGGTCTTAGAAAGGAAGCACAAGCATCGCTTTTGGTTTGCAGAATGAAAACTAAGTGATCGACCAGTTGTTGGTACGTCAATTATTTTTTTACTCTCAAACGGGGCTGTACTAAGGCCACAGAAAGGACGCTGTCCAGTGTAAAGGGGGCTTTAAGTTTTACACCCCTGGGATACATGTTTGGTGTGAGAGTCTGATTGCTTGACTCACCTGTAATTAACCTGTTTGTGACATCTAATAAACTTTTTGTCTCATGGCAAGGCTCATTGGGTTACTAATAATAACATTCTTCGTATACTATTATATATGGTACTGGAGAGTTGAGTGTGTATAATCCTTCACATCAACTGTGTGTGTGTGTGTGTGTGTGTGTGTGTGTGTGTGTGTGTGTGTGTGTGTGTGTGTGTACAAGCGCCCATGCATGTTAAGTGGTTGAGTATGGCCTAACCTCAACAAAGTTCCTGAAGTAAAAGTGACTTTTCAAAACAAAAATTTCAGTCATTCCAGAGTTCTCTCTAGGATATGGAAGCCATCGTTTTGTACTCGTCTCACATACTTAGACTATCGGGTGAAGTGTGAGATGACAGGATAGTTGTCATTGTGATGCACCGCAGAGTTTCTGTAGTGGAATCTATATATAACAATGTGTGAAGGCATTTTAGGTTAAGGACCATGGTAAAAAGTTGTAGAAACATTTACCTGGACTGTGACCTTAGTTTGGTTTGACGAGTAGGAAACAAAATGAAGCAAGTCATTCAGGTTTCCTGTCTCACATGTGCCTTTGTTGAAATAACAAACAAAAAAGTTCATTTAGGGGTGTTTTCTTCCAGAGAACTCTCTCTCTCTCTCTCTCTCTCTCTCTCTCTCTCTCTCTCTCTCTCTCTTTTGAAAATCGCCAGGATCTAGTTTTCATTAAATTTCATTAGATTTAGATGTCTATGCAACAGGTGGGGTCAAAATTAGAATGCATAAACTACATGGAAGACTTCTTGCAAAAATGAGGATTTACCTAAGTTATATTTATTTTTTATAGTTAGATTATATTAGTTTTTACAATTATGAAATTTTTAACAAATGTGGTTTCAGAACCAGTTACAATAACACATCAGTGTCTAAGTTTTCCCTTTCTGTCATTACAGATCAAGATTGATCCTGAGGAGGTATTCACAAAACTGGAAAAAATTGGAAAGGGATCATTCGGAGAAGTGTTCAAAGGCATTGACAAAAGAACCAATGAAATTGTTGCAATAAAAATCATAGACTTAGAAGAAGCAGAGGACGAAATAGAGGATATACAACAAGAAATCATGGTGCTCTCTCAGTGTGATAGTCCACATGTGACAAAATATTTCGGGTCATATCTCAAGGTGAGTAGTTAATGGTCAAGTGAAGGTGAAGGGCATTTAATTTCTTTTGAGACATGGAAAGAAGCTGCATATATACTTTGTATGCAGACAAAACGTATACGAGGAAATGTAACTGATCTAAGTTCATTGAAAGAATCTTGTTTTTCTCATAATTATCATTAATTTATACTTAAATAGTATGATACAGTTGGCAAAGGCAATAAAATTCACAAGGTCTGTTTGAAATTTTTGTAATGCTTTTTGCAGCCCTCTCCAATTGTACACATTATATTAAATGTAGCTCCATAATTTTAGAACGTAATGTATGCCATAATCTTAGTGGAAGTAAAGTAATCAAGATGGCCTTAGCAGTAAAGTGCATTTTGATAAGAAAGAACAGATAGAATCTTGGTGTGCAGGTGCTTGTTTAGTATTGAATTTTTTTAATTTTGTTTAATTCTTAAATAGCTGTCACATCATATGAAATATGACTAGTTTGATCTTGATAATGGTTACAGTGTCAGCAACCTGTGACATGTATTGAGTTAGGAATTTATACATGGTGGTTACAAAAGCAAATATTTCCTAGCCTCATTCAGGATGTGGTGAACCGCTCCCACTGGGTGTATGCAGCCAGTGATCACCTGATAACCTTTATTTAATTGAGGAAAAATAGAAGATAAAATGTTGTCTTCATTTTATGTAGAATACAAGAATTAATTGTAATTTATGCTCCAGCATGTACTGGTGAAAATGTACATATGGATATAACTATATAATAAGGGACAAAGTCACAATATTAAACACTAAACTACAACCTGATAACTATATAATTAAAATTGTACATGATGAACAAACAATATTTTGGTGTATTGCTATTTTAATACAGAGATGAACAGGGTAATATATTGATTCTTTTTCACTAAATCAGTGTTGAGTTGAAGAAAAATTATCAGTTGTTAATATTCCTGTTTTATATATATTGTTAAACTGACATTAGATTCTGAATCAACTAGAGTGTTTTAAGGCATTATAAGAAAAAAGTACTGTGCTATAATGAGCCTAGAGGTATGTTCCATTCATGATTTTGTTGAATTTTTTCCAGGAAACAAAATTATGGATTATCATGGAATTCCTGGGAGGGGGCTCAGCGCTAGACCTAATGAAAGTGGGGCCCTTTGACGAAATGTACATAGCCATTATACTACGGGAGATACTGAAGGGTTTAGAATATTTACACTCGGAAAGAAAATTGCACAGGGACATAAAAGGTGAGGTACCATGGTGATGGTACCTTGGATCGTACCATGGTCAAAATGTTTTTGTTTTGTGTGTTTGTGTCTTTGTTTGCTTGTATCTGCCTTTGTGTCTGTCTGTACCTCTGTGTGGCTGAACATCTGCCTGTCCATGGTCACTTCCTTCATGAAAGCATGAGGGCCATTCTGCAGTCTTTTCTTATATTTTGTCACACGCACATGCACGCACACACACACACACACACACACACACACAGTAGTGCACTCACTGACACGATTATACAGTGAAATCGAATGACCATCATTATTATCACACTTGTACGTCAGTCCCCTCAGCGTCACTCACTTAGTCATAATGTNGCACATACACACACACACACACACACACACACACACACACACATACACACACACACACACACACACACACACACAGTAGCGCACTCACTGACACGATTATACAGTGAAATCGAATGACCATCATTATTATCACACTTGTACGTCAGTCCCCTCAGCGTCACTCACTTAGTCATAATGTCCACCCAAAATATCCCTGTATGACGCTAGGACATGGTATGACACGGCTGATAACAGTGGATGGACGTAATCCAAGGGTAGTAAACAAATTCCTACAGGGTACACCTACTGGTGACCAACAACTTGTCCCCAAAGACACCCTGTTAGTGGTTAGGAAAATATCCCTAAGGAGATATATTAGGAGCAATTTGTGGGTTGGTTTAGAAGTAATCCTTTGTCTTAAAAATCAGATTACTCTATTATTAAGAGGGTTGTTGGCCGATAGATGGTACCCAATAGGCATGTTTCTGTTTAGATTGTGATAGCTTTACATAGTTTGTACAATCCCATTGGGTAATTTGATTGAAGTTTTTGGCCACAAGATGGCAGTCTAACTTTGGGCGACTTATCTCAGTTACATTTGCATTGTGGGAGCAAAGATATGTTAGAAATTGCAAGGCAACTGTCTGTTGGATGGTAGTTAATAAACTTTGTGACTATCACAGATATTTATTTTTCTCCTTTTAATTCTATATTTTTGTTGTCACTCACAAGCAATTAAATTCCAAATGAAAGATAATCTATAGTCTACAAAGTTTTTGTCAAACTTATTTGTTTTCTCGGTGGCACCATGACTCAGCATATGAAACGTCAATCAAAGTCAAACCTCGTTGTTGTTGTGTACCACCTACAAACACCTCTATTCATCAGTCTGACTATAAACCTGTAAAAAAACATCACACATTAATTAACATGGTGCTTGTCAGTCCCTTACTCCACTGTTACTATGGTACCTTGTGGCCATGCTTGACCTATTGTCCTTGGTCAATAATTAACTTGCGCCTTAAGGAGGTGGTTAATGAGTACTTGTTGAAAAAATATATAGTGTTTCTTTTTTGACACGGATGTTTTTAAGGGACATATTTTTGTGGGCCTGCCAGTTCTCTATAACATTCCACCTAGTCTGATATGCACATGTTGAAGATTGTGCTGCAACCATATTGGGTTCCAGTAGTTTTAAGAATACAGTACTTGGAGCATTTTCAAAACTACATAAAAATACTAACAAAAGATCTAACAATTGTATGTCACTTAAAAATATTGTTATCAGTGTTTGGGATCTTGTGGATTCAACCTAGACAAACAGTTCATGCAGGAATAGAAAACATGAATAAAAAGACCTTTCAAGAGTTCTCCCAAAAGACTTTTTGTTGGAACATTTTGTTACCTCCCATGTTGTTCAGGTTGTCGTATGGCATAATGTCAGTAAACTTGACAAATGCCACTGCAGCGACACATATTCTTGTCGTTGACATGAAGGTCAGCTCCAGATGACAAGCAGGAATTTGTGAGGAATCCGTTGCCCAAAGCAGAGAATTAATGAATAAATGTAACTTTTCCTGGCCTTCGCAAAGGGGGGACTACATGTGTTACATATGTATCAGAGGCTAGACCTCCACCTGCCAGCTTGCTGTAGGGTTGCTCTTAAACTCTAAGGGAACGTTTTCCATGTCCTGTCCATTTCAAGTTTGATTTTTCTGTTAAACTGCAAAAGTAGTTTTTTTTATACCAGGTGCAAACTTGCTTTTGCCAAGGATCTTTGAAAACTCATTGATGTTTTAATGAAATAAGTTGTGAATGGCAGTGAATTATGTTTGTGGCATCATGATATGAAGATATTGTCAAATGTTTCTAAATTTGAACCACATTCGATCAGTTTTAACTTTAAAGTTTATTTGTTTTAATCAAAGGAAGCTGGTGCTGAATGGAATCCCAGTTTTATGATATTTCTGTAATACTGCTCATTATGATGACTGTGAGCAGAACTGATTGTAAACAAAAAGGCTACGCCATGAATTTGGAACTAAATTCTTGTTAGAACTGACTGAATGTAAAAAAGTTTTTGAAGTGGATGGATTTTGTATGAAAAAAGTATTTTTTTAAAAAGAAATTCAAGGAAGGACCCCCCCCCCCCCCATCAGTCTCCTCCTTCCCCTTCTATGAAAGTCTTATAATACTAAATTCCGTTATGTTGCACAAGAGTGATAGGCTCCAGTTATTTTTTATTTATGTAATATACCTCCAATCTCCTGCAGTATGCTTTTTGTCAATTTACATGAAAATGAGCTATATTTAGGCGTTTAATGTTAATTCTTCAACCAACAGGTTGTCACCCACGGTGACAAGGTTGTCACCCACAACAACAAAAATGTTTTAATGGTGTACCTCCCTTATCCTCTGCTCTCCTCTTATACTGCTGACAAATTCTTCACACGCAACTCATCCCGAGTTTTAAACTTTTAAAGGCTTTCATTTGCATGTCTCTCAAAATTGTACTTTCTGATGTTAACTCAAACCACTTTTCAGACTCTCAAATTTTTTAGGTCACTCTAAGAAAATATTTTTGTAAAAAAAAATGGAATTATATCTGAACAAAACTAAAAAATGCAATTAATTATTTTTTTTTTGGTTCAGATATATTGAGTAATTACCATATCGCCCTGAACATTACAAATATTATATATTAACATTGGGGAGACACCACCTTACTAATATGCTTGCAGACATCCTGATGCTTAATGTAGTAGTTGTTTTGGAATTTTGTGTACTTAATGTTGTCTCAAAATGAAATTAGCTCCTGAAATCTGAATCAAGGTCTTTGTAGAGCTTAACAAGGTTAATTGAGAAAATGTGTAACAGTTGTAAGAAATGCAGCTTTTCTGACTTCCATCTTTTACATCACTTTTATGGAATCTGTGGAGTTACCTGTCAAGATTTTTAAAACTCTTTTGTCAAGGGCCAAAATACTGTACTGCTAAGTTACTTAAAATTTAAATGCCTGCCCCAGTGTATTAGTATCAGTTTTGCTCTCAAAGGGAGTTAAAAGATCAGAAAGCTCCTTAGCTTAAGTTTTTGTTTCAATATATTAAAATTGGTATGAAATATGCAGTGTGTCTTGTTATCTTGTTTCATAATTATTTTACCAATACCTGCAAATGTGTGTGGACAGTTTATATGAAAATTTCATTGCTTTTGTGGCCATATATTCTAATTACACTGTTTATGGTTATTGTATTATTCATGCAAACAACACAGAACTTCCTGCTTGCATCTTGTTTGTTATGCTTGGCCATATTTTGTGATCCAGTGTTTACTTTTTAAAAGATAAATCATTTTGCTTTTCATTATTGATAATTGCCATTATTTCAACAAATGTCAGTACACCGATTTTATAGTGACAAAACCACTTTGAGAGAGAGAGTACTTTTACTATTATACAGACTGTTTTCACTCATTATTTGTCTTGTTTCAGCTGCCAATGTGCTGCTCTCAGAGACTGGAGAGGTGAAGCTAGCAGATTTCGGGGTTGCGGGTCAACTCACAGACACAATCAATAAAAGAAACACATTTGTAGGGACGCCATTTTGGATGGCACCTGAAGTCATTAAACAGTCAGCATATGATTCAAAGGTTTGTTTTTAATCTTTTTATTTATTTTATAGTAATAAAATTAATAATGGAAATAATAATTATCCTTATGATCATCATCATGATCTTGAAATAGAGAAATCTTCAGTGTCTTACATGTTTGAAATATTAATGATGTGGTATTGTGCTGTAATGACTGTTCTTTAATGGGACTCTTAAGCTTAAAGTATGTAGCAAATTATCATACATTAAATGGAGATTTAATGGTGTCCCAGTCTGCTCACCTCCAGCAGGAGACGTCATGTTTGAGAAGTAAGATGCATTTTACGGGCCGAAAAATAACGCTTTACAAAATGAAGCTGTATTCTTGATGTTTCTTAATTTAACTCTTTTATATGTATGGGCATTACTTGTCTGGGTTTGCTCTACCTTAATGAAATCCCACCCCACACTACAAAGGAAATTTGTATTCTTATTAGGAAAAAAATCAAGAAAAAAAAAGAAACTTGCCTGATAGATGGGTAGTGTAAAAAGTTTCCAAGTGAGAGAAGTTGCACAAACTTTAAAGAATCTCCCTGCGATGAATATTTTCTATTTTGGTAGAGTGAGCCCAGTATTCTGTTGGCTCATATATATTCCTCAACCTGTATCCCTTTTTGTAAATGTAGCTTTGAAAAGTTGAGAAGTTGAGGCATTTAGTTTTCAAAATTTTACAGTGCAAGTTCAAAATGTTCATTTTTTATTACTACATGTATTTTCCCCTTGACTTCTAAAATTTCTGTATAGTATTTTATTTTACAACTTTGAAATTTTATGATGTGTATATTTGTTCACCATCATTTTCTTCCAGATGGAACCCTTATTGATTCATGCCAATTTTTGTTATTTCTTTATAGATTTCCCAAGAGCATTTGACAATGTTAACCATGTTCTTCATTTGCAGGCTGATATCTGGAGTTTAGGAATTACAGCAATTGAACTGGCCAAGGGAGAGCCCCCATATGCTGATCAAAACCCAATGAAAGTCCTGTTTCTCATCCCAAAAAATAACCCTCCACAATTGACCGGGCCTTTTAGTCGCAATTTTAAAGACTTCGTAGAGATGTGTCTAAATAAGGACCCATCCAATGTAAGTTATTGATGGTGTTTAATGTTTTTGCGTGTGGGTTATAGAGGCAAGATGGTGCCAGGCATGTGCATGGTGTTTCAGCGTTCTCGTCTCTGTCTTTCCAATATGGCTGCTGTTGGCATGGTGTCATGTCTATATTTAGATATTTTTGATTGCATGATTTGGTAGCAGTAGTCATGAACTGAATTTCCAAACTGAAATTACCAAGCAAAATGGTATAAGGTGCATGTCCTTTGTAAAAAAAAAAAAAAAAAAAATGAAAGCAATTTTTTAAAAAAATTAAAAAATCAAACATGAAAAGAAGCAGGTCTAGGACCTAAAGCATGCTTCATAACAACTTGACAACGTTCAACTTTCCCATGCTGACAGCCAACCATTGCCACTATGGAAAGGTACCACCTTGCGTCGTTGACCAACAAAAATTAATGTATGCTCCCCCTGCCCCTCCCCCTTCCCTCACTGCTTGCTATCATTCTGTCTTCTTTTGTGTATGATTTTGGTTGTGTTCTACCACTACAGGCAGACATCTGGAGTTTAGGTATTACTGCTATAGAACTCGCCAAGGGTGAACCTCCAAACTCGGAGCTCCATCCAATGAAAGTGCTCTTCCTCATTCCAAAAAACAATAGCCCCAAGCTTCACGGTCCCTATAGCAAGAGCTTTAAAGACTTTGTAGACACTTGCCTTAATAAGGATCCCAAAAATGTAAGTTTTGTTCTGGGCAGTATTTTGATTTTACTGATGAGTTTGACATTTGCCAACTGGTATATGACAGATTAAGAAAAACAACCAAACACAATTTTTTTTTATTTAAAAATGTACTTTTAAACATGATAAAGCAGTATTTTCACTTAGCATCACAAGACAGTTCTGTTGTTTATTATGAGCATCACAAGACAGTTCTGTTGTTTATCATGATCAGAACCATCGTCTATTTGGAGAATCTTGAAGGTGAAACATTGCAGTAAGATGTTACTTAGTGCAGAAAATGTAGGACTTAAATTATGTGCAGCTGTGAAACTAGATTTATACATGGAATTTGGACATATCTGTTTTGGGAATGCATCTTATTTTGGGAATGGTGTGTTGATATTTATGTTTGGTTTTTCTGTTAATTTGCATGCTCAGTAGAGTAAAGCACTAGATGTTAGCCTAGAGAATTTGCATCGCACGCAAGTCGTTGCATGCAGACTTGCCCAGCCTTACATTAATGTATTGTAATCAATTCGGAATACAAACATGATAATGTATCATAATCCTACTAGCTTTCTATATTGTAAACTCGCCAAGTTGAGAAAGGCAAAAAGTAATACAAATCTATTTCAATTGTTTATATTCGTACACAGTTTACTGAATATTGTATGTGCTGTTCAAGCTACCAGTATAAAAGGTCTAGCTACCAGTATTAAAGGTCACAGTTATTGTCATATTGACGTCACTGAATAGGAGTTCAGCTAAATTAATGAAGAACATCATCCTTCATGAATTTCCAACATTGAATTCTGGTTATTGATATTAAAAATGTACCTATATGCAGTGTAGATGTCAATTCATTAATGAAAGTAGTCAATGGCAATAGTTGAAATTTTTAGACGTGTAGAGTATAATGAACAGGTCAGTAAAAAGGTAAAATCGGCCACTAAATTTTTGCTTTTCCAAGGTATGAGTACTTGGCTGGTGTGAGTTTTTTGGGCTTGTTTGACTAAGGAGCTTCAAGCTTCTGTGTTTTGAGTTATCTTTAATGAAGAAAAAACTTAAAAGAACAAAAAATCCTTTTTGCAAGAACAGCAGTTCTGTGTTTCACACCAAACCGTAGGTATTTTTTTTCCAGGGATGAACTGGTAGTACTTCAATTTCTGAAAATAATGGGTCTCATTTCTAACAATAAAGGCATGGCAAATAATGTTGCAAATCAATACACTATTTAAATTGACTTCTATTTATCTTGAAAAGTAGACCCAAATTATTGGTCAAAAAGCTTAGACCAATTTTGTGGGCAGAAACTGTTATGAAACCAGTGCCTGTTTGTTCAGCCAGGTCACTGTCAGGAGTTCTAAACGAGAATAAGTCAAAATAGAAAAAACGAAGAAAAAAACCACCTGGAAGATCAAAAACAGGTTATTTTCAATAAATTTATGTTAGGGGACCTTTAGCGATACATCTGCTGCCAACTTCTAGATGAAATCTTACATGTACAGAAACTAAAAAGACAAAAAAAAAATATATATACGGTGTCACGGCTTCACCTGACTTCCCACCTGAGCCACTCTGTCATTGTACACTTTGACATTTATATGCTTGTCTTAAAATGACAAGCAAATACACTCTGTTCATTACTGGCAGAAATTGGTACATACCCTGATGTTTATGTGCATTATTGACAAATCGACATAGTGTGTCCAGCTATTTGTGACATGAAGTCGTCATGTATTGTGAAAGGAAGTTAGTCAAGTTCAAAATATTGTACTTACTGATGGCTGTCTTAGAGAAAAAAATTGTGAACTCTCTGTCATATACATTACAGTAGGTTTTGTCATAGCAAGCAAGCTTAGAGGTTAAGTACCTTTTTGAAATACAATGAGTGAAACTTTTGTGTAACAAGTCAGTTGTGTCATATGTAACCGATAGTATTGTATCCCATTAGAATTTATCACAAATGGGCACGCACGCAATGTCTTTTGGAAGGAAAATATTCACGGTAATAAAATAGATGGATGAATAATTAATCAAACAAGCAAAATAACAATAAATAAATGGAAATGTTGTGTTAACCTTGCTAGGTTTAAAAGATATAAGCTAAAAAGTATAATTTTTCAGTTGATTCCCTTTTTTCTCTCAAGCAAGAATACAAGCCTGTGTGCGTGCACACACACACACATCACAAACACACACAGATAGAAATGAGCTATCTTTTTATGAACTGGTCCAATGACTCCAGTAATAAGTAACTACTTATACTTGACTCACCTTTGCCAGAAGCGAACTACATTCCTTGTTTTCTGTTCTTTTATTTGTTTCAGAGCTATTTTCTAAGACCCTGTCTTCTTGTATGAGTCACTGCCCCTGGAGCTTGTATGCTTTTTGCACCTCTTTGCTCTTTATTTTTTTCTATCATTTCCCCCTCACTCTTTTGCACTTATTTTGAATTATTTTTTATTATTATTTGGTTTGTATAAATTAATACATCTTTCGTTGCTAATGGATATCTGTCAAGTGTAGCTTGCTCTTTATGGTTATTATAAAACTGGGAACTTCATTACTGTTTTGTTAAACTAAAAGTATTGTTTATTTTCTATGTGAAACATTAAATTGTATTAGGTCTTTACAGATAAAAGTTTTAAATGAGTTTATGTTATTGTCATTTAATGATTTGTATAAAGGAGAGAGATTATTTCTAGAAAAAAAATATTTAAGAAAAATTTGACAAATAGTAACATCATTGTACTGTTTATATTTTTATATACATAGTCCAAACAGATCACTTAATTCACTGTATTCTCTTGTTTTCAGAGACCAGTAGCAAAAGATTTGTTAAAGCATCCATTTATTAAAAAAGCCAGGAAAACATCATACCTCATTGACTTAATAGATGCGTACAAGTCGTGGAAAGCTGCTGGAGGAGGGGACGATGACAGTAGTAGCGATGAGGAGTCAATGTAAGTATTCAAGTCATGCAGTTCCCATAAGACTTTCTGGGGTAGGCCTAGCAATTTTTTTCACTCAGCCAAATCACTACTTTTTTGTCAAATTGTTATCCAAATGGTTTTGATTTGACTAAAATTAGTCAAATCAAGCCCTTTTTGTTTAGCCAGTTTAAGTCAGTTTTAGTATTTGGCTAAATTTGCGAGTGTTAGTGCTATCCAAGACTTTAATATACCCCAAAAGTTTTTGAAGCGCTGACAATGATGTTAAACACTGCAGATTCCATATCACATGTCAAGTACTGTGTGTTATGTATTTTACGTTATGTATTGTATTATTCACCTTTCCACAGATACTGATGCTGGTCTAGGTTTCGTGCCTTTTTCCAGTGACACGGATGCTGGGTTAACCCATTTCATGCGTTACCAGAAATAGGCATGAAACCACGGCCAGCTGAAATGGGTTAATGGCACATGAGTACTATAATCTGTGGAAAGGTGAATGTTTTATCCATGTGTTCCCGTTTTCAGGTCTGACGGTGAAGAAGGCAACGGTGGCGACACCAGCTGGGACTACCCCACCATCAAGGTTCCCTCCAACATGGTGTTACACCTTGATCAAGATGAGAACCCTCCTTCACAGGCAAACCCCAAAGTACAAAATGGTGATTCTGCGTACCTACGAGGCAAAACAGTAGAAAGTAATAACGATAAAGAGGTAAGTTGTAAAGCATTTTTTATTTTTATTTTTATTTATTTATTATAATTTTTTTATAATTTTTATTTTTTGCTTTTCTTAATATTTATTTATTTATTATCTTTTTTATTTGTCATTGGATTGGAAGGAACATTTATTTTGAAATGATACGTGCCATTGGGATGAGGAATAAAATACCCTCTGGAGCTCTGTTCAGACCTGGAGGATTTTGACCTGTATATTGGTCAAACTTGCATCATCAGTCCATTTGTGCACAGATCTAAGGCCAATTTTGTACAAAGTGCATTTTATTTTGGACTGATCTTTAATATGATACAAAAAAGGTATTGCTATTATTGATAAAGCTTTGCATTATGGGAATCAATGATGCAGAGTTTGTAGTAATACTTGGCAACAGTTTTTGTGTTGTGTTCTGCATTTGCCTTTATAATTTTTTTGCCCTCCAACCTGCAGTCTTAACCATGAATGCTAGCTTATTGGTATTGCTTGTCGTTGTTATTATACAGTCTGATGTACGGCGCCATTCCAAGGGTCGCGCGCCACCCGCACCGCCAGTGCAGTCTAAGACGAATGTAGAAAATGCAGTAAGTTCTGGAAGCTACAACTGACTACTACTAATCTCAAGTTTTCATCTTTTTTTTTTTTTTCTCTCATGGTAGCGGTTTTCTAGGTTATTTTCCTGTGTTTTGGCAAGAAGGGAGTGTCTTTGTCACAAAGTCAGGGCAGATTCTGACTTGACTGAACATCGTAACATTTTCTACAGAAGAGGGAGATGGTTTTGTCTGCCTTAAAGGTTCATGAACACTAAATTTTAAGGGAGGGGGGTTGCTTTACTTGTTTGACCACTTAGTTAAAAACATTATCGGGACTGATAAACGTATTCCACAACTTATTACTAGACAGTGAAAAAAAATAAAAAAACGTACAGATGTCAAGTCAACCCTTCAGACTTCTGCCTGACTAACTTCATCACTTGCACTTTTAGGATCATCTCTTCAGGTTTTCTCTTGACCATAGAAGTGACCTTTGTCCTGTTAACAGAAGCTGTCCACTGTCGTTTGTCTCTGTGGCGTGTTGGGGCACCCCAGGGGGACAGTCTTTTACCCTGGGGTACACTGCCTTTTCATTGCACATATAATCAGGGTAGACTTAAAGCAGCAAGACAGGAGCATGTAATTGTCTTGCAGTGTCTCTTTTGTTTCAACATCGAAGCTTCGCAGTGGCGCACTCTGACAACATTGAGCGCTATCTGTCATCTCATAAGTTTTATATTAAGTAAGTGTGCTGCTGTATGAAGATTTTTATAAATAAATCCCAGTCTTTCATATACTTTTCACCATATCCACAAAATTATTCAGTTTAACAAAAAAAAAAATGGATTTTTCACTTATTTTGTCACTAAATCACTTAAGTGTTACAGTGGTCAGTAATCAAAACTCAAATTGACTGTAAATTCATACACAGTGAGTATTTTGATAATTCATGTGAGATGGCAGAGATCTGCTGAAAGCCTCTTTCTTCAGCTGGTTTCTTCTCTTTCAGACCTTTCACTTACATTATATAACATTTGTCAAAGCACTGTGATATATGTATTTGATGGCTACACAATGTGGTCATTTGTTTGTTACAAATCTGTCAGTGTGAAGAAATGATGTGATTGTGATATCTGATGCCTTATTTTTTTTCGATCTTAACGCAATGCTAAGGGTTATCTAAGCACATCTCAGGAAAATGGCATGTGCTCCTTTGCATGCAGCTTGTTCTGGAGACTTGTGGAGCTTGAGTATTAATATCTACTACTTGATAAAGTAGTTCATGTTATGTTTTTTCAGCTGCAGTAATATCTCAAATAATTTGGACATAATTTCTTTCAGAATTTTTTCTCATAAATTATCATTTTTTTACTCACAAAATCATACTTTTAGACACGAAACTAAAATTCATTTTCGTATCTCTAAAATCTTCTTTCTATTGTGTCACCCCTGGAAAAAAGTTGTTCATATTGATTATCAAACCTGTTCATTTGGATTTGAGATATTATTGCAATTATCATAAAACTTGATATGCATGTCTTGAAATAATTATTGAAGCTGTTGCTTGTTGGCTTTTATGCTTTGATTTTTTTTTTCCGGTGGATTACAAACCTTTCTGCCAATTAAAACAAAATGTATCTTAATAGCAACTGTATGCTAATAATAATGATTCCAAGAGGGAAGTCCTTCCACAAAATAAGTACAGTGCATTTTGTCTGATATGCATGAGAACTTTGGTTATGGATTACTTATATGTTGCTTTTCAAATTTTCTGTATTTTATTCATTATTATTTTTATTTAAAATAGTCAACTATTGGCATTGATATGGTTTAAAAGTAACTGATGTTAGAAAATATGTAATGCAACTATTGAAAAATGCTCACTGATCAACAGTATTTATATATATATATATAATGGCAGTGGACCAAGACTTGCACACAGACTATTGTGAGGGAGCATGGGTGGTTTCTTCATATATATTTATATAGCGCTTTGCATGGTGTAGTCCAACTAATAAAATGAAAATTTAAAAGAGAACTTATTCAATTGCTTGCATGTGTAATACATACTGAAAAAATTAATCTGGAGAAATATCTGAGGAATGTGTACAAGGAGGAAGACCATAAGGAGAAATAAAAAAGGGAATTAATTTTAACAAAAAATACAAAAAAAAAACTACTGATTTGTAAACACCATTACATTATGGATTCAAAATGGTTGTTACCCAGCTTTTTACAGGAGTTCATCTCAATCTGTTGAAGAACTGCCATGCGTGGATGGAATCATGATGTATTACTGCTATGAACTGGGTAGATGTAGAATGTCATAGTTGTAGCTGTTACAGTAGTTGTTGCAGTCAGTAAAAATAAGAAGCATGCCTGTAGTGCTTTCTATTAGACTTTAAAGTGATATTTAGTGGTAAGGAGCCATAGAGTGCATGTGAGAGCATGTGGAAGCTTGAAGTTGTCCTTTGCTAAGGCTCATGTACCCAATAGGGTGAGATCTATCTCACCTAACACAATGGCGGCTGCGAGTGGGATACAACACATTGGAAACATTGTTCAAAACTACACAACTGGAACTGGGTATGCACACAGAATGGGGCTATCATTTATATGGTCTCTGGCTGTATTGCATTTCCTATACACTTTACAGGCCTGGAGTGAGTTCTGTTCATGTCAGTAATCATGAAGTGAGAATCATTCACTATTTGGTAGAATAAATAGATGTATCAAGAACTGTTATGTAGCTTAGTGATGTTGTGGGATGCCTTTAGCTTAACTTTTGCTTCTATGTTTGTATGTATGTATGCACACTAATTCTAGGAGCCAGGATTAACAAAGAAGGCATTTCAGAGGTCTGACCCTGCCTTTCTCAATAGAAATGTGGTTCAAGTAAGTAAAGTGGTCGTAAGCATGTGGCAGTTGCTCTTGGATTTTCTAGGGCATCAGTACAAAATCAAATTCCAGTATGAGCCGCATTTCAATTACTGTTCTTGTGAAAATTGTACATCTTTTGTACAGTTAGTCTCAGCATGATTGCTTGGTTCCTCTCTGTGGCTTTGTAGGGTGTATGATGTCCTGTTTGCAGACTTTTCAAAATGGCTGTCAATTTTAAATGGCCGCCTTTATTTAGCAACTGGGTGAAAAGAAAAGGGTGTTTCTTTTGCCATTGTCCCAAATATGTCATTGTTGTGCCATAGCATGTTTACAGCTGAGGGTTGTATTTTGCACAATAGAAATAGTGAGCACTCCAATATAGAATAACTCCTAGCTAGTCCATTTATCCATAGAGCATATAGAAGGTATATAGAGTAGTGGTGGTTTACATCAAGTTTTGATACTAACTTGTTTCTATGGTGCTCCCTCTGTACCTGCCGTGCAGTGAGCTGATTGATATTCATATTTAGCACATAGTTTCTTAGAATTATTTTGATTTTGTTTTGAGTAATTATTTTGATTTTATTCACCACTTTTATTCACCATTTTGCTCTTTGCGGTGCTTGATTTTTTACTTGCATTATAATGCTTACTCTTTTGTTGCTTGCTTTGCTTATTTAGACACCTAAATCATATAGCCTAGAGAAGAACCACATCACCAAGTCACACAATTCGGATCAAAGGAATATAGAACAAAAACCGAAATCGAGCATCCCAGAAATTTATCCCAAGCAACCACAGCCACATATACCTACATCCCACAGCCAAGAGAGGGGAGTGCTAGGACAGCACTTACTGAAATCGCGAAACAGTGAGAGAGAGATTGAGAAAGAACCACCCAAATCAGAAGTCCCAGAAATGAGCCCAGTACAGCAATATCTTCTGAAATCGCGTGGCTTTGAAAAAGAACAAGATAAACAAGGGCTGCCCAAGCCGCGCAGCCCTGAGCTCAGTCCCTTACAGCAATATTTGCTGAACTCTCGCAACACGGAAAGGGAGGCTGACAAACCAGACCCTCTGAAGACTGATGGCCGAGACATTGGACCAGTGCAGCAATATCTGCTTAGGTCAAAAAGCCAGGAAAAAGAACTTGATAAGCAGCCACCCCCTAAATCTCGCAGCCCAGAGGGTTTACGAATGGGGAATTTTTTGCTAAAATCGCGAGACTCTGATCTGGGACCCGTAGGGCCACACATTCTCAAGTCCCGCAGTCTAGAGAGAGAAGGCGATACGAACCACAAGGCTAAATTGACGACTTCAGATTCTGAGCACCAGGGGGCACCCAAGTCACGCAGCCTGGACAGACTGCCAGAGGGCCAACATGTGACTCTTCTTAAAGTGCATGATAAAGAGGGCCCAGTCATGAACAAATCCATGGCAATTTTGAGAAGACTACACTCGGAGATTGTAAGTTAATATATGGAATGTGTGCAGGTGATGGGACCAACAACTTAACATCAGGCTGGAAGCCATCTTTTTTTTTAATAAGCTGTCATAGAAGACTAACTGTTATTGTTTATTTATTTATTTATTCATTTATTTAATACATTTTTTCACCAAATACTAATAACCACCAAAGGATACAGTCAGCACTTCTTCAGCGGATGCAAAAAATGTTGTCTGATAACATATATTCAGATGGACAAGGCTGTTACTTGCAGTATTCTAACATTTCTTCTTCCTTCTGTTGCTTGCTTGTGAACAATTTTAAAGAACTATCCATGTGGCTTGAATGAGGTGCATCCATTTTCCTGATATTTGCTAGGATTGCAGTTTTGATATATTAAGTGGGTTATAAGAATTTTCGTATCTTAATAGTTTCTTTTGAAATGCATTTGGTGGAATATAGAAGTAGGGTTATGTTAGGTTATAGTTTGGAGATCAGTGGAATATGAAGGCCGTGTATTGAGATATTCTTTGTTAGGGCAATTTAAGACATAAGAGCTTTCATTTTTTTAATGAAAAGAAATTACAAGATATGAAGTTTATATATTTATTTATTGTTATTTTGTTTGTGACACAAAGGGCTTAATTTTCAGAACTTACACACCAATCATCTCTTCCATCTTGGATTTGACAGCCATATTTGATATGTATCGAAATATGTAGTGGCACAGTTTACCAGTCGTTTTGAAAACCTTCAATTTTCCCTTCTTTCCTTTCTACTCTAGGGTACATGTATGTGCTGATAAACCAGGAAGATACAAGAGCTGTTATGTTCTATGATTTCACCAATTTGTCACATTATTTCAGGACAACAGGTTATCAAGTGACAAAGAAGGGCATAGATCCAATAAAAAAGATCTCAAACAAAGTGGTGGTAAAAGTAGAGTAAGTTTGGGTAGAAAATGGATGTAATCATTGTAATGTCTTTATATGTATTATCAGTATGTATATATTTTAAGCATTTATATTGTAAAGATTCTAAATATTGGTTCGTATTGTGAATTGTGTTGGTGTTATCAAACGTAGAAAACTGTTGTCAATAAATATGTACACTACGCAAGTAAAATGCTGTTCAACCTTGCTGCTGAATTATGCTGAGGTTAGCATAAGATCAGGTCTTGCTTTGAGTAGTTGGATGCTGTCATCAGCAGATTTTCAGATGGCAGGAAGAGTATTTATTGCTTTTTGGGAGCCAGGATGAACTTTATTTCTCTCTCAGTCTGCTAAATATGATAGGCATGCAGGGATCGCTTTTTGCATAAGAAACTGAAGCATGAGCTTTGTTGGCACTTATATCATATCATGAATTTGCAACAGGAATAAATTGATTACGTTGTTTATTACTAGTATCATGGATATTAGAATTCTGCTTTTGGAAGGTGGGGTTTGAGGATTGAATGCATATTTTGAAAGAACGTGGAGGGATTGCTTTAGAGCCTTGGGTAGCAGGTCCTGCATCTGCTGAGGCATGTGCTTGAGTCAGACTGAGATTAAGTGGGCTTGTATAAATATATCATACAGCATTAAATAAATACAGCATTTTTACGCCAAAAAAAAATCACTCACCTAGTGATGACTCAGACAAAGTTTGAGAAGTCTGGATTGTTATGAAGTACTCTAACAAATGGATGAATCTTGCAGCATCTTGTATATTATGCATATTTAGCAGTCGTGCTAATACTAACATGGGTAGGAGCACAGTATCCTATTTTCCCTGCATTGCATGGAACAAGCCCATAGATGGCAGCACTTGGTGGCACTGACAGTTTGCATGTACTGTATATATCCACACCTGGTTTTCATGCAACAGGGTATATTATATCCATTCATATATATACACATATGATAACTATGGGATAGAAACACTGCTTGCATGACACTCACTACCTGCCTTGGGAATGAATATATCCATAGCTTCCATATATAGCCTACACTGCACTATGGGCATATATATACTCGCTGAAGCACGATATTGTCTCACTGATTTGTTGGCAGTTTTGACTATAGAGGGCTCTGTGTTCTAGGTGGACAGCACACAATCCTCGGAAGACGTCCGTCAGCCAAAAGTCAATCCACAGCTCAAAAGGCGAGATGTAAGTGACAGGCATGCTGGCGTTATTCAGATCTATACTGAGCAGTGAAATCATGCTGTGATGTTTTGTTTGTTTATTCCTTGTTGTTGTTGTTGTTGTTTACTCCTTTAGATATTTGATTATCACTGTTTGAATGTGTCTGTGTATGTGTGAGTGAGTGTGAGAGAGAGAGAGCTTGCAGGAGTGCACACTTTTTCGTGTGTATGTCCTGTGTTTTTTGCTCTCTGTCTCAATGAATTTGGGTATGTATCACTGTATATATGAGAGAGAGAGAGAGAGAGAGAGAGAGAGAGAGAGAGCATTTGTAGCTTCATGTGTGTAACCATAACTTCTCTCAGTGGAGAACTAAGCCTGAATCATTGTAGATAGAGCAGCTGAAGAAGGCAACGGTAAAACGCAGCTCCAAGGAACACCAGGCCATACTGGCAGAGCTTCACGGAAACCAGCTCTTTGTAAGAACAACGCATGCTGCTCTTCTGGGGAAAAAGACATCTTATGCCCCTTTCCCTCTCTCCTTTATATAGTAGTACATAAACTGAAGTCTATATGCTATAAATGGTTTTGAGCAAGTTCCCCACCAATGGGTTCCTTAAACTCATATATGACAGAGGATTCTTGGTGTCTGGTGCATGATTACAATGATTATGGAGCATGTACACTCCAGTAGTAAAAAAACTCCAACCAACCGTTTTGGTATGGGAAGTGGATTTCCAAGATGGATGATGATGATCATCATTGAATATATGTACCTCTTCAGATAGTGTGCCCCAGTCTTAATATTATATTGTTCCTTTGCTTCGAGAATGCTTAATGGGGTGGTGAGGTTCTGAAGAAAAAGTTTTTCTGTCATGTGCTAGCACATTCAAAGAGAGCATGGTTCATGGTTTTATATTCTCAGAAAATTTTGAATTCCGCTTCCTTTTTATAGACAGCTAGAATCATCAACATCGGTATGATATGAATGCCATAAAATGTTTAAGAGGCAGTTATTGAAGTCGGAGTTTTTCAATACCTGCATGACTGCAGTTCATGTCCAGACTGCTGAAGTTTTTGGTCATGGGGTCACATTTTGCTGGAGGCTATTCTTCCATATTCATACTGGTTCTAGCATGGTTGCAAATTTGGAGAATACTATTATGTTTTTATTCCTTTGGTCGGTCAGAGCCCATAAAGATAATAGTTTTGATTAAAAGTATCATTTACATCATTCTTTTATTATGTAATCCAGTTTTTGAAAAGAGAGAAGCATCATGCATTCAGCCAAGTAATGAGAATATGTTGTTCTGCAGTAATTAGTAGCTTTGTTGAAATCTGCATCACATGATATATAACTTAGTAGATGTTATAGTCAATAGTTATAGGCAACACAAATGTGCAATGAACTGATCTTTCACATCCAGCGAAAGCGCAGCTTTGCCAACCCAGAAGGGGATCAGTGCAATGCCACAACAAGTGAAGGAGGTGGAGACTACGATTCATTCTCCCAATCAGATATAGACTCCCTGCTGCGCTTTGCTGCCATGCAGGACACCTCGAGCCCTAGACTTTCCCGCGCCCCATCTTCTGTCCACCAGGAGTCTCCACCTACTGTGTCTGGCCAAGAGGAGCCAAGTGATGATTCCCAGAAGCCCTCCCCCTCTCTTTCCCTTTCTTCACTCTCCTCCTCCTCCTCTTTTGCCTCTTCCAAATCCTCTTTTCTCCGTAAAGAGAGGAAGAACTCCGGCCAGGAGATCACGGTGGTTGAGGTCCACCCTTTCAACCCCCACGAGGGAATCAAAGATGGCGATGATGAAGAAGGCTTCAGCAGCCTGGATACAGACTACGAGAAGAGTGACATTGAGACTGAGCCAGAAGAGTTTAATTTCTCTGAAGCTGATCTGATGGGTAGCTATTGCAACCACTCAGAGGCTCTCACTGACTTCTACAGCTCTGTTGAAGATTCGGATACAGATATGGGTACACTTAAGGACTGGAACTCCCCTATGCCTGCTACAAAACCTGCCGAATCCAACAAGAATGTAGGTGGCACCACATTTGGGGCATGCAGCTTATATATTTATGCTGAAGGATAGAGGATAGATGGAGCCACATGATAGAATACGAAGATTGTGACTTTGTGTTGGTGAAAAGGTGAAACTGCATTAATGTTGAGATTGGTGGATAGGTGGTAAATTATGTTGCTCGTGGATAGGTGGAATCACATTCTCTGTAATATGAATGCATTTTATGTCATATAGGTTACAGCATCTGCGCAAGGCAATGGCATGAATTCTTATATCCAAAAATAAAGGAGTTAATGCAATGTTTAATTTGTAAATGTTTTCTTAGTATAACTAGGCATTTAAAGTTTTATTGTAGGGGAGAGGACAGGAATGGTGCATGGTATTCAAGGTTAAGAGCCTTTCCACCATATTTGAAAATGACCTACACTGCCCATGTGGAACTGTATATTTTTAGGGAAAAAGTCCTTGCATGAGGAAACATTTATGCCCATTGGCAGATCCACCTTCTCTTCTAAGTTTGCTAATGCTAAGCAAATAAGCCAGAAAACAAACCATTCAAGTTGTTAACCTTGGTACTCTGCCTTCACGCCTTCATCCCCATCCAACCCCAATACAACCCACCCCTGCAGGAAACAAATATTGGATCTGCCAGTGTAAGCACAACTTCCACCCAAATTATCAGGAGTAATCTAAACTGATATTAAGTAACACGTTAGGGAAAAAAGTTAAGATCAGTTACAAATGGCTTGACGGGCATGTTTTTTTGTTTTTTTTTAAATTTTCCATAGCATGGTGAACAAAAGCAGTCAATGAAGCTGCAGGGTTTTGTTTTGAGTTGCTTGAAAATCATGGGAGACATATTCCAACTTGAAAAACAACTGGGTTGCATATTGTTGAATGTGGAATTGAATATAGCATTTCAGTTCAAGTATATGGAAAATGTTGGGTGACTTGCGATTGGGTTCTGATCAAAATATACATAAGCTGTCTGAATGTTGCTCTCTTTTGTTGAAATGTTACGGATCTGTCCTAGTTTTGGGACAGTGTGCTGGTATCACAATTGGATGTAGACTTTTTATAAGATTCGTCACATTTTTCAGCTTTATTTCCAGCTGTTTTGTCCTTGATTGGGTACATACCATACTACAAATATATCATGTATTTGTCTGAGTGCCACATTTCTGTGTGTCTTTTTCACTAATTCTTAATTTATTTCAGTCAGATGTGTTCTTTGCTTTAATGAGCAGAAAATAAGATTTTTTTAAATGTATATCGTGATATCCTTTGTCAGTGTAGTGTATGTTATCCAATATTTTATACATATTGATATAAAAAGCACATCAAAATAAGTCCATTATAATGGGATCATGCAAGGATTCTTCTGAATACATTCTTGTTCAATGTTGCTGTTCCTCTTTTCATTTAAAAGAAATTATTATTATTATTATTATTATTATTATTATTATTATTATTATTATTATTATTATTATTATTATTATTTCAGACCCCACAGCCAGTTCCACAGAAAAACAGAGATAGCAAAGTAAGTCACAGAATATGGTGTGTTTTTATGGATTAAGAAAAACAGTTTTTATTTTATAATATTTATTTATTCTTGGAATTACTCTTTGTGTTTTTCTGTTGTGTTAGATATGGGTATGAGTATTTATTAATTTATTTATTTGAAAGTGTTGTCCAACAGTGAGAAAGTGCTGAAAGATTCTTGGTTGGAGAAGGAACAAGATACCTTCAGGTTAACACAGGATAGTGTTTCCTGAATACGGCTGATGTTTATAATTTTTATAACCTGTGTCTTACTTGAGGTTATTTGCCCTTTTCAAGTTTAATCAGTTTCATTTTCCCACAAAAATGTTTCCTACATGAATCGGACTTCATTTTTCAAACTTTTGAATCAATTATTTTAAATATTGCTAATTAGGCAATATTTTGTAGAAAGTGAATAATTTGTTTTATTAGAAAATTTCAAGTCATTACTGTATTCAGGGAAGACCCTGATCAAGGAATTCCTGCACCATCCCCATTTGCACGGCATTTGCACAATCTTGAAAATGATGAAGTCAAAGGAACTGAACTAATCTCAGTGTTTATGCCAGTCACTAACAAAAAATTTTTCATTTTAGCTGATTTCACATGTTATCATTCATTATGTATGTCACAATTATTTTTGAGAAACTGTACATTTCCAGAATTTTCTTCATGCTGTCATTTCATTTGTTTCTGTCTATATTCATTGCACATTTGCCATACTGAGGGTTTTCAGAACATGTAGGTGTATTTAATTCACTGGCTTTTTTAAATTTCAGGTGTGCACCAAATGGGTTTTAATACTTTATTTATGTTTTTCAATGTATCTCTCAATATTATATGATGCAAACTTCTCTCAGCACAAGCACTGAAAATCTGCTGTGTTAGCTTGTGGTTATTGTGATAAATGGCCTTTCTCAGTTGAGATGACTGACCATTGACTTAATGACCATTTGCTGACCGTTGACCATTCTTATTTAAAGACGTCATTGAGGTTACCAACAGAATTTTTTGTTGCTTGTGCTTAGAGACTTTCTCTACAATAATTCACACACCACACTGATTAAAAATTACAGTTCTTTTTATTATTATACTATTATTATTCTTATTAATTCACAGCAGTTAACGCCTGGTGTTAACGTACATCGTTCACCATCTTCACCGCCAATACAAAATGAGCGCGATGGCCCTGTAAGTTTGCTGCATGTCTCTGCAGACTAAGGCTGTAGAAATATACCACATAGCATATATCATATTATAATCAAATCACAGCAATTAAATGAATAGATAGCTATAGGTATACATGTTATAAGTTTGTTTTCTTTAACAGTTGAGGATCATGAATGGTCTTTCAAGTAACCTGTTTTTTATAACGTGTTACTATATTTATTTATTCATTTACTGATATGAGTTCTACCGTGGTATCAAGCTCACTATTTTAATCCATGGCTTTTAAGATATATATATATATATATATATATATATATATATATATATATATATATATATATTACTTATTTATACTATATATTATTCATGGGGTCTGGGATGAATATATTATGTAGGTCAAGAGGATGTTCATTGACATAGATAGAGAAATAAAATCAACTGTCTCAGCAAACTGTTTTCCTAAATTTGAACTTAAAATTTTGAAATTCAAATTTTTATCAGCCAAAAGTGATTCATTTATTTTTGTTCTGCGTAATTACTGAATGTGTTAAAAATATACGACAACATGAAAAAAAAAGATAAAGAAACAGTTTGGTAAGGTTATATAGGGGGAGGGGAGGATTTAGACTGCTAATTATCACAGGGTAATATGCTAGATATGGACACAGTAGTATCGACGGGTAGGCAGTGAAATGCTGTAGTTGGCATGTCAGGTGCTGGGAGTGTGGTTGTTGTTCTTGGCACATTGCGTTAGTTGTGATTTTAAACACATTTTAGCTGTAACTGTTGAGGATGTAGTGATGTGTGTGTAACTGTGGTGTAGAGGTGGTCATTGTGCTTGAGATTAATCATAAAGAAGCCTGACAAAACATAACCGCACTGCAAATACAAATAATAACATTAACATGCTGAATAGTTTGAAGTTACGAATTTGAGATTGGAACAGGTGATTTAACTTTATTCACAAAATTACAGTTCTGGGTATTAAAAAAATTAATGAGTATGCATCAGTTTTACTAATTGGAAAAAAATAGTTTTTGCTTTGTAGAAAAGAAAGCCCTGGGCCATTAATATTTATAGTACATCTGATAACATGAATATTGATTAATCAAAACACCACTTTTGTGGAGTGACACAACTTATTTTAATGATGATAAGAAATCACAAGTAAAATCATAAAAATGAATTAATTTATTTTCACCTTGTAACAGTTTTATTCAAAACATTTTTCATTCACTGTAAAACTTAAGCTGTTTTTTTTTTTTTTTTTTCGTTTACTGCAAAACTTAAGCTGTTTGTGTACAACTAATCTTTGCTTAACATTCTCAGATATTTTAAAAGCTCACATAATTGCAATCCTTTGCAAGTGCAAATATTCACAGTTTTTTTCACCCATTTGCAGCCTGGCTTGTATTCACTCCTTAGCACAGTTTAGGGATAGGCCAAAGACAGTAGTAAAGCTTAGAAGAAACTTATCAATCGTTGAGCTGTTGCAAAATTTATTTTGAAGACAAGTTCATACAGTTAAAATATGCTGCCTCCCAAAACTTGCATGCAATTTGAAAAAAATACAGCAATTTCTGTAGTTTTTTTCATTCTTATTACTCGTTCCAAAAGACTTTGCTACAGGAGTGAAAACTGCTTCAATATTGAACTTTGTCTGAGAACTTTCCGCACCCTTTTACTCTAGGCACGTCGAGGCCATCATGGTCGTAGTGAATCACAACCTGTCTACCCAAATCACGGCCGACTTAGCTACCTACAAAACAATAACAACAAATGGAGTGTAAGTGCATGGTTATATGATACAAGGCTTATGATTGGCTTGTGGTTTGAGAGAGGATACATTTGCATAATATATAATACATTGAATATGATAGGCTGTTGCTTCATTATAGAGGATCGGACAAAGAATGTATTCTTTAGTGCTGCCCACAGCAGTATTGATAGGTATTGTAGATATCAGTCACACAGGATGCAAAATATGACCCAGATATATTATTAAATGATATTTTGTAAATATTTGTATTGTGAATCATGTTGCATGTTGCTGCATGAAGAATGAACTATGTTATTCAGTGACAGTGAAATTGCACGTTGACATCATATTTTATTTATCAATTCCATGTCAGTGAATGTTAGAAAAATAATTCATAACTTCTCCCAGATGTGTGATAATGCGATAACTGTTTTGTCATATGGAATGCAGTATTTTACCATTTAATATGTTAACAAAAACGAGTGATGAATTAATTACAAATAGTAATTGATTTATTAAGAGTGTTTTTTACCTTCTTAACATCGGATTCTTTGAATTGATGTGTCGTTTACTGTTTTTGTAACTGTTTGTGATAGTGAATAACCTTCCATTTCCAGAGCTTGTTCTTGGCTTTTTTGTTGTTTTGTCTTGTGCCCGTGTTGCATTGATGATTATTGTTTCTCCATGTGTAGCAGCCAATAGTTCTACCTCGACCCAAATCCCAATATGACCTACCAGCTCAGGGTCCCGACCTCCAGGCCGGCTTAAGACGAGTTGCTTCGCATAATAACGCCTTTACTCCAGTAAGTTTTAGCCCAAAGGCTGCTGACCCAAAGGCTTCACTTCAGCAAGCGTGACATCACATGAAATGTGTGACATTACATAAAATGTGTGACATCACTCCAAGTGCGTGACTTCACCACGGGTGATGGATTAAGTTGAAGTGGCATACTTTCTTATCATACTGACATGGGCAATTCTTGAGACCACTTCACAAAATCATTTTGTGTCATTCATGATTTATTATTATTATTTTTATTTTCTCATTCTCTATCATTTGTCTGTTTCACATAAAAGCAGAATAAGTTTTGTTTTGGAGAGTAAACTAAAAGATGGAAACTGAATTTTTTTTCTATAAAATTAATAATCAGAATTGGAGAAACCAACTGTTGTCAGTGTTAATTAAGTATGTCACTGCTTGATCAGAGTCAAGGGAGGCATTTCTAGTCAGCTTATAACCGCTTAACTCAGTATAACTCATCTCAGCAGTAATACAACCTTATGTGGGACATCAGAAGGACTAGATTGATTCCTGTGGCTAGTATGGTCTGCTGAGGTGTGCTAAGTTAAGTAGTTATAATCCGACTGTTAATGCGGACAGAGTTCGTCAAGTGGTCACAAAACCTCGGCCATACATGCCAGGTTGTTTTTGTCACGTTCACAAAATATTCACGCCATGTTTTGCTGTGTGTGTTAGGAAGAAAACGTTGTTGATCCTGCAGAGGATGAGGTATCCGAGAGTACTGAGCTTTACCCTGTGCGGCGTGCTGCATCGCAGGGCAGTGCCCTAGAGTCGGTAAAACCAGTGGTACGCCGCGCTGGCTCAGTTAATAGTGCATTGGAAGCAGTAAGTCGAGGGTTTCACCCTCATCGTAGTAAAAAGAAACCTACTGCACAGCTCTTTCTTGCGGTCACTTCTTTATTCCAAATCACCTGAAATTTCACTCTGCAGTTTCTTCCTGGTGACACTGATTATGTCTTTGTACTGTTTGTTCAATGTACGTGGATATATATGTATATATATTTGTGTTATCCTCTTACTGTGAGAACATATATAAACACTGATAACAGTTTTCCTGTAGCTTTATATTAATGGAGTGGTTGGTTACGTAATTGAATCTGTAAGAAATATAATCTAGTAGATCACTATTGCCGAGTTCACATACAGGTCTACTTTAAACCAGAGATGATAAAAAGGATGTCATTTGATGTCCCTTGCTTTGCACTGCCTATTTTATCTTTTTATAGTACCCCAGCTTGTCATATGGCAGTGCTTCCACCTCTAATATTTGATTTTTTTAAAGGTCTAAAAATCAGTGGCATTTCTAATGAAATATTCCAAATTATCCTCAGTTTTCCTGGTTTGTATCAACCTGCATTTGAATTGTCCTCTTTCTGCAGGCAGTCCTGAAACTATTTTGCATACTAGTTCCCTTTTATTTGGGTCTAAAGAAGTTCTGTATGAGAACACGGCTTGAGAGGCTTAGCATAACATCTGTTATATAGCATACAATAATATTTTCTATTATAATTCTACTACCACAGCCAGTTCCTGTGTTTTGAGGTGGTTCCAACATAGAATGTATTAATTACCTGTAATACTAATTAGTCAAACTTTATTGCAGGGCAATACTTCTAATTCTGTAATGTTCTTTGGGTCTAAGGCATATTTCTGTATTATAGTCTGTTCTCAAAAAATTCCAATGTAATGTCTGGTAGAGGGATACATGTGCTGCCATCTGTAGGGCAACTTTACTGTGCTGCCACCTATTGTACAATGCATATTGTAGTCATGGCAACCTTAGGAAGGTTTCAATGCTTCATTAACATTCACTTTTTCATTGTTCTTTATAGATTGTACACCAGGCTGGGGATTTAACACTTGTACCAATATGTTCTTCAAATTTACAATTGTTTGAGTTATATGAATATTAAACAAGGCAAACTATTTTAGATCCAGCCCTTTAGTCACTTAGTTTATTATAGTCTGCTTCATATGATAGTATGAATAATTTAATTACGTGCTTTTGAATTTTTGGGTAAAAAAATATTTTATTTTCATATTAAGTTTAAATATTTGGTTTCATTTGGTCATAATCATAGCTGTAAGTAGTTCTTAACAGATTGCATAACTTCATGATATTCTAACTGTAACATGGTGTATATTTGCCATATTTGTTGTCATCCCGCCCACTACTGTTATGTAAAAAAACTGTGACAATTGTTGTAAATGCAATCATGCTGTAGTGAATTTGGACCCAGTGCCTACGGAATCTGCTGTATATAGCTGGTTTTGTGAACAACATGCTTGCACAAGTTAAGATTTAAGTTTCAATGCCAAGCCCATTATCTACACTTCATCTAATCTCGCCCATCAGTCTAAAGTTCTCCATCTACTGAGAAGAATAATAAAGCAAGAGAAATAATGATGGCATCACCAAAGCCAGTATGCGATAACATTGTTTTCTGAACAATTGACACAGTTCGTTGCATGTTCCTCATCTTCACTTTCATACCCATGGATTGTTGGCAAATAGTATTTTAATACTTGTTTTAATGTAGTCTTCCCATTTGTTCCAGTCTGGTCGACCTGCTTCGCGCGTTCCATCCCAAACCTCCCCAACCAATGAGAGAATAGAGCTGCCGCCAGCGGCTCAAAGGCCGACGTCCTCTCTGACTACAGTCATATACCCACTGATGCAAGATGTAAGTTATAAAAAAAAATCATCAGTTTGGAAAATAACTGAGATCAAAGACCCTACTGTCACAACCTGTATAGCATTCAGACTGTAGATGGCTGATGACACAATGAAATGTCTCTTGTGGGTAAAAAATTATTCCTAAGTTTGTGACAGAAGAGCTTTTCGTATCTCTGTACGTAAGAAGTCATGATTTCAGTAAAGTTGGGTCATCTTAGTACAGCCCATCTTTGAGTATGATTTGATTACAATTAACACAGTGTGAGTATAGTAGAAAATTGGGATGTCCACCAGACTTACAACTTGGACCTGAAAATGCCCTGATATTATTATTATTATTATTATTAATATTATTATTATAAGCTACATATTGTATTTTTATTTCACATTCTAGCTTCGAGAGAGACATAGGAATTCAGGACATCCACAGCATGGGGAAGCAATTGATGAGTTACGGAAAGCATTTGATCATGTAGAGCGCTCTTCGCCTGGTATAACAGACATATTAGTATCAGAAGTAGTACAGCGGTTAGGAGGTGCTTCACTTAGTGATGGGCAAATTACACAAGCTATTCAGCGAGTAAAAGGGTAAGTTATTGCTCAGTTTTAATGGACTGTTTATGGTATTGTATTGCCTTAAATTTTTCCACTAAAAATGAAGTAATGTATGAGTAAGTAATGGAATTAATGGCTTAGACCACAATTTTTTTCTTTTAGATTTTCAGTGAAAGCCTGCAACTATTCACTTGACTAAGTTGAGTTATAAATCTCAGTAGATTGATAATAAGTACATTTCTGAAAAGTAGTCAGTGTGACACCAGGAAAGTGTTATTTGAATTTTTACACCGAAATCCCTTACACAAAATCTCAGGACAGTCAGTTGACTGATGTGAGCTGGCTGGTCCACGTGAGTAGTATTCATTAACCTTAAGAGTGAGTAGTATGTAAAGTTTATGAAAACTGCTGTTTAAGTTGAATCATAACTACCAGACAATAATGTATTGAGTTAATTTACTTTAAAAAACTGACATTTTCATTTCGTCACTTTTCAGGAGGGCAACGTAGGATAGAATTTAATACCAATGTGACTCTGATCAGGCTGTCCTGTCCTAGGTGGCAGCAGCAGTCTTCCTGTATTTGCCGTCCCAGAGAGGGTAGTCAAGTGCAGACAGTTTCCGTGGAGACGGCACCCTCTGACTGTTATAATTGAGAAGAGGATCAGTTGACAGGAAGACAAAGTTTTAGTATAAACAGCAGGATGCAAAACACTTGAGATATGAAAAGTTCATTGAGTGCAGTTTTTGTCAGAAATTAAAAGCATTTAGAGCAGGCATGGATGTGAGGGTATTAAGCAACATCACGTGGCACAAAGTGACCAGGAAGGGCCATTAATATTACTGCAGTATAAGTAAGCCATTGATTATAACAGGACTCATCTTGTTAGTGCGGTTGTCACTGAAAAAAGGATTTCTGGAAAGATGATATTTCAATGGGGAGCCTTCCAAGTGTGTTGGATCACAGAATAGGTCACATAACCTTCATCTACCAAGCTGTCAGTGCCAATAAAATGCTGCAGGGAATAAATGAATAAAAGCAGTATAGTCAAGCTGAGGGCATTGCATTCAGTAACCTTTTCCACTGTAGGTGGCACCACAAAGTGTACACTATAGATGGAGCCACTATGACTAGTGATTATGATTAGTTGGTCCCCAATCCATGACAGGCTAGTTTATTTTTCCACAATATTAAGACCTAATTTGCACAAAGCTGGACCATTTGTCCAGACCTTAAATTAACACCATTTACAAAAATTCAAATTCATTAGCATCCGAGGCAATGGCTCTGCTAAGTGAAAGGGAACACATCTGGTGCACTTAGAATTTTATAGAAAGGAATTTCAGTAAATGGGCCATTGGGTGCACATTGGACCTGTGTTCATCTTGATGCTGATTGACCATTATTGAACTTTGTATCTTATATTTCTGCCCACCTGTACTAGTAAATACTCCTCTCTCCATCTCCTGTCGAGGGGCATCCGTCTAGCTGTCAATGGGTTCCAATTAGTGGAACTAAAATGACTAATATATTGATTGTTTAGAGGACTCCAGTATTGTCAGGCATTTACTTTCCTTCTGCTAGAATTTTCTCAGAATATTTTTTTAATCAGTTAATTAATATTTAGTTAATTGCTAATTTTGACGTTTGGAAATCCCAAGTAATGTGACCACAAGAAATGTTCTCATTAGATGAGCATGGAAGTATATTAGTTACCAATGAAACATGGGACTGTCTTGACTCTAGGCCCTCTGGTGGTTTGTAGTTTAGTTAATGTTGGACCAGGGTGCACACGTGTTCCTCCATGTTAAGGACGGAATTCAGTTATGTCTTAGAAAGAATAAATGTTGCTGTAAATATGGAACTGCTGCCAATGTAAAAATAAAACTTAAGCTTGTGTATAGATAATATATAATTTAAAGATAAGACTTTAATGAGAAAGTATCTTAAGAGGGACACAGTGTGTGAGTGGTGCAGCTATACAAAATGTCACCTTTTTGAAGAAAAATGGCTCCAGTTATTTATAGAAAATGTACCTCCAGATTTCGTTATTAGGGCATATTGGGTATTTTGATTATTCTTATCATTATCGGGTATGTTTTTATTTTGTGAATAAGAAGGTTTTGTTTTAAGATTTCATGTAAGTAAATTTTAAATATTGAAATCTGGCATTTGTTAACAGTAAGTAACGAAGTGGGCAGGTCAACTTATATATGTATTAAAAAATGGATGAGCTGAGTTGGTAAAGTACAGGGGAAAAATGTAGTAAATAACTGCACACTTTTGGACTAAACACCCAGAAACAGACCATGTTTTTCATTTCTTTTTTCTTATCTTGATGACAGTCTGAGGTGACATGAGATCTCATGAGAAAACTAGATATTTGAAAGTTGTTTTTCTTCCATGGTTGTGCATATGGTTATATAAGTCATAGAAGGACAAATGCCTGGTAATGAATTGGCGGAATTTAAGGGTGGCATATTTTCTGATACTTTTTGAGATGGGTCATGATGAAGGGGTTGTTTGGTCCTCTTCGTAGGCCTAGATTTCTTGATTTTTTAGGGTTAAAGCAAAAAAAAAAGTGTGATGGGTTCTCCTTCTTTTTATCCCAGTTTAAATTTTTCAACTCAGATGTGTGTCGATTGTTAAATTATTTCAAATGAAACTATATTGTGTAACATACGATGGAGAGAGAAAGTCGGAGAGAAAGTCATGCTCGTCATTTCTTCTCATTTTCAAATTGGGCATTTTGTGGACCCCTTTTGTGTGGTTTGATAAAGAGGCAAACAGGATTTTTTCTTGCATATTCTAAAAACTCCCTTCTCATTTTAACCCCCCCTCCCCTCAATTATTGATTTGTAGGCTGATCGAAGCTTTGTTTAAAACAAAATAAAAACGTTAGATTAATGGAATTATTGCCGTAATAGAGCCAAATAATACATGTAAACAGCTCGAGTTCTCATTTTATTTATGTTTTAAATTGGAGGCTGTTGAATAGAGTGTTTATTCTACTTTTTATTAATTAAACCAGAAAATATTTGAATGGTGTTCTGGCCTAACCTCACGTGTCCTACTGGACGATGGTCAAGTGGACGTGGTGATTGGGAAGAACTTTGTAATATATATAAATATATATAAAGAGAAATATAAATAACATTAATAATAACTATGTACAACTTGTTGATTGAAAGGATTCCCTTTCAGAATAAATGAACTAACGACATTTTAATGTGGTGCTGCCTTTTGTGTTGTTATTTGCTGTAAAATGAAAAATGATGCTTCAAGAAATGAAACACCGTGTTTCATTTTTCAATGTGCAAAATTTTTAATTTGTGATGGGCAATCCTTTGAAAGTCCAAAATTTTGGTTAGGTGACGTACACGAAAACACGCAGAGACTCCGTCACAATCTGTCTTTCACATTTAAAACCAATTATTTAAAACGAAGCAAAGCAACATGTAATCTATTTTCACCGTTATCTGATACATCTGTGCATTTTTCATTGTACTAAAAATACTGTTTCGTGAGAAAGACTGTGCATTTCTTGCACCATGGTCCGTTTCTCTTTATCCGAGTCGTGGTTTCATTTAAATTGAGTAGACCTGCCTTACACCCTGGAATAGAACGCCTTCACAAAACGAACGTCTGGATGAACAGGACACTGGTGAAAAACGGTCACCCTCGCTTAAAATTATCCCCGCTTTGATGATTGCCGCAGATAAGTGCACAGGATGAATATTAAGACGAGTATATTTTTACCATATATGAAAAGTGCTGGGATGAAGAGCTTATATTACTCTGATTTGTTACGCTCTTGACACTTTTTGTATGGGAAAGGGGAGAGATGGGGAAGAAGGGGGCGCCTCGAAAATTACGGGAGGGACGTTTTCCCAATGTGTCCTCCCCCTCACCAATCATTGCCCAGTTTATATTTTTGTGGGCGGGGCTTTGTATCATAGTGACACATGTCACAGATGTTTCCATTCTCAAGGTTTTCAACGAAAGAACCACCGTACAGACACGGGGTGGGCGTGTTTGTGGTAAAGGACGGTATACTCAGATAAGATGGGTTCACCCACGTCGATATTTACTGTGCGCAATTTCAAAGGCTTGGCATGTGATAAACGCGAGTTTTTTCACGTTCACAAATAAATTCTATGTAATAATATTATTAGAACAATAAACAGAAAAATATACAATAGAAGTTATCTGAATATTGCTTGAAAAATAACCTTAACGTGGATTTTTAGAAAAAAACTTTTCTTGCTCAGCAGCACAGTAGGTTGGCTAAGGAGAACAAGCACAGTTTAATAATCCCCCTCGAGGATTAGGCCTACTTTTGCTACCCCCCCCCCCCCCATACACACACACACATTCTAGTTATTAACCTATTCTCTCGTCACTCGTGGCTTGTGGCTTGCATGATAGCTGTTGTGTAGGAAGACTGAAATGTGACACAGGTCTCATCTTATACATGTGCATGAAGTTATTAAACAGAATTGGAAACAAATCAGAAAAATGATCGTCGCCTTGTCTTTGAGGGCAAACAATGCGCGCTAGACCTAAATATAGCCAAAAAATTCTATTGAAAATTTCATGTTTCCTTATTCAGTAAGGTATACTCTATTTAAAAACGTGGAGAAAAACTCCAGCTATTATCTTAATTTCTTTTTACCGCCATGACTGTAAATATCGGTCTCTATCTCTATTACGAAATATAAAAAAAACTATAGACTTAGAACTAAGAGAAAAAGCATGGGTAGTAAATTATGTGAAAGGTTTTATAAAAGATACTATTTCACGGTGATCACGGAAAAGTTTTGAAATCACAAATAAAATTACTTTTTTGCTATATAAAGCTGTAAACCTATCTATCAGCCTTTGAGGAATAATTTGCACGCAAAAATAAATAAATAAATAAATAAATAAATAAATAAATAAATAAATAAATACATGAAATTAATTATTCTAACACAGATTCCGACCTCAAAATTCATCATTGGCAGTTCACTAAGTGGGTGGTCCTGCTGCAATCAGCCATTACCAAATCTGGGACGATAGAAGGCAAAATACAGGATTCAATCCCTGGGTTGGCGTGTATTACAGCCCACGGCTGCTTACTACACTGTGTATATAAAGAGGACCATGAGCAGCTTTTCTTCACATTCTGATTATAACTGGAATTGAAAACTCGACGAGGTTCTCAAAAGAAAGAAGATGCGCTTGCTTGTCGTGAGCATTTTACTGACCGGTGAGTTCTCTCCTTTTTTTTTTTTATATCATTGCCACGATGTACAACTGTGAGGGTCATTATACCGTCAATTTTACNGATCCCTCCCCCCCCCCCCCCCCCCCCCACACACACACACATTCTAGTTATTAACCGTCACTCGTGGCTTGTGGCTTGCATGATAGCTGTTGTGTAGGAAGACTGAAATGTGACACAGGTCTCATCTTATACATGTGCATGAAGTTATTAAACAGAATTGGAAACAAATCAGAAAAATGCTCGTCGCCTTGTCTTTGAGGGCAAACAATGCGCGCTAGACCTAAATATAGCCAAAAAATTCTATTGAAAATTTCATGTTTCCTTATTCAGTAAGGTATACTCTATTTAAAAACTCCAGCTATTATCTTAATTTCTTTTTACCGCCATGGCTGTAAATATCGGTCTCTATCTCTATTACGAAATATAAAAAAAAACTATAGACTTAGAACTAAGAGAAAAAGCATGGGCAGTAAATTATGTGAAAGGTTTTATAAAAGATACTATTTCACGGTGATCACGGAAAAGTTTTGAAATCACAAATAAAATTACTTTTTTGCTATATAAAGCTGTAAACCTATCTATCAGCCTTTGAGGAATAATTTGCACGCAAAAATAAATAAATAAATAAATAAATAAATAAATACATGAAATTAATTATTCTAACACAGATTCCGACCTCAAAATTCATCATTGGCAGTTCACTAAGTGGGTGGTCCTGCTGCAATCAGCCATTACCAAATCTGGGACGATAGAAGTCAAAATACAGGATTCACTCCCTGGGTTGGCGTGTATTACAGCCCACGGTTACTTACTACACTGTGTATATAAAGAGGACCATGAGCAGCTTTTCTTCACATTCTGATTATAACTGGAATTGAAAACTCGACGAGGTTCTCAAAAGAAAGAAGATGCGCTTGCTTGTCGTGAGCATTTTACTTACCGGTGAGTTCTCTCTTTTTTTTTTTTTTTTTTTTTTTTCATTGCCACGATGTACAACTGTGAGGGTCATTATACCGTCAATTTTACAAACGGAATGAGCGTTTAACCTTTAAATAGCAAAACTTCTGTAGATGATTATCTTATTCTGTCAAATATCCGTGACTATACATATTATGAACTGCAAGAATCACATATTCATTTATTCGCTTGATTCAATGTTTTCTGTAAATTACGTCACTTTTCCATCAATCTCCAAAACCAACCATATCCCAAATCGCTGACAAATTTGTGATATATAATATTGTATTATACTATGTAAAATGGCGGTATTGTCTTGTGAAAAACTTAAAATATGCACCGAATATGCTTAACATTCCAGTATCAGTTGCTCTTGCTCAGGATGACCGACGTCCACCGAGACCAAGACCAAGTGACGATCCACTACCACCGAGGCCAAGTGGGGAACCACGCCCACCAAGGCCCTGTGAACCGTGTCCGCCGAGACCAAGCAGAGAACCACGCCCACCCAGGCCAAGTGGACAACCACGCCCACCCAGGCCAAGTGGGGAACCACGCCCACCAAGGCCCTGTGAACCGTGTCCTCCGAGACCAAGCAGAGAACCAAGCCCACCCAGGCCAAGTGGAGAACCACGCCCACCAAGGCCATGTGAACCGTGTCCTCCGAAACCAAGCAGAGAACCACGCCCACCCAGGCCAAGTGGAGAACCACGCCCACCCAGGCCAAGTGGAGAACCACGCCCACCAAGGTCATGTGAACCGTGTCCTCCGAGACCAAGTGGAGAACCACGCCCTCCAAGGCCAAGTGGAGAACCCCGCCCACCCAGGCCAAGTGGAGAACCGCGCCCACCAAGGCCATGTGAACCATGTCCTCCGAAACCAAGTGGAGAACCTCGTCCACCAAGACAAAGTGAAGAATCTCGCCAACCCAGGCCCAGCGAAGGACCTCGTCCCCCAAGACCAAGCGGCGATCCACTCCCACCGAGACCAAGTGGAGGTCCACTCCCACCAAGACCAAGTGGAGATCCACTCCCACCGAGACCAAGTGGAGAACCACGCCCACCAAGACCAAGTGGAGATCCACTTCCACCGAGACCAAGTGGAGAACCACGCCCACCAAGACCAAGTGGAGATCCACTCCCACCAAGACCAACTGGAGATCCACTTCCACCCAGGCCTCAAGGAGAACCACGCCCTTTTGGCAGACCAAGGATTTTCGGTTAAAATTGAATCAAATTCAGTTTTAAATTCAGTCAAATACGGCTATGACTAAATAAAACAATTATTAATTAAGAAGCGCTCTCTTCCCTTCTGTTATTCTATTATTTTTTATTCAGTCTAATTTACATTAATTTTTATTTTTACTTTTTTATCCGTTTGTTTTTATCAGTTTACAGGGGTACTATTATTTTTATGCCTGATAAGCAATTAATCTGATATATATTTTTTAATTTACATGTCACATTATTCGTTTGACATGCTATACAAATGAATTTTTGCGAAAACTTAACAAATCAACTTTCGTAAAAACAGCAAAGATTGTTTAGGTGTTTTCTTCATCATTTTCAATCTTTCTGCCGAAAATCGAAGGTTAAGATCATGATATTATTTATATCACTACTTAAATATTACTCCATTTTCATTTCTCAAAAACTTATAACAAATGTTTTGCGACTTTTGAATGAGCAATTGCTGGTCGATTGTATGAAATATGATGAAAAGATGTGCAGAGACAATGTTAAAACGTACAGTAATCGTGCAGTAATTAGAATTCATGCTTTATTATCTTTACACATTTTTATAAAATTGTTTTGAATTTTGATTTTCAAATGAAAGGCCAGACAAAAGCTGGTTAACGATCACCCAATGAACAGGTTATTTTAATTCATTTTATAAATATATAATATTGAACGAACTTACATTTACACCTTAATGTCCGGGTGTTTTTATTTTCAATTTTCATTTAGGAGGTGCGGGGGAATTTTCAAGTTCTCAAAATGTCAGTTCGGAAAATTTTAGAAGCTAAAAACGACACCGTTAAGTTTTTGCATATTTCGTTCACTTATACCAAAAATATGCTTAATACATTTTTCTTATTGCAATAAAACGGGTGCAAAAATTCTGACCTCCAAAAATTTTGAACAATCACTTCGTTAACGATTTTATCCATTTTATCTGCCCTAACATATCAAATTCCACAACTTCTGCATTCCAGTTTTTTTTTTTTTTTTCGCATACACATTGCGTTTGTCTGACCACTGGAATTGTATTTTTAATGTTGCAGTGATTACAATTTGAATATTGTCCACCTTATTCCACAGCGCAAAAGCGTCTGTTTCTGATTTTTGCACACTTCACAATTTACCATGTCCTATCTTAGTTAATCATATCTCAAGAATAATTACCGTTAAAAATCTATGACATACAAAATTAGTTGGTGGATTATATATAATATTCACATCATTCTCTTGACAGTTGACCAAAAAGGAAGTTGAATCATTAAAATTCACACAACAAGTGTTAGGCCTTAAAACAGAAAAGAATTTATTTTCCTTGAAAATCCATCATTTTTGCTTGTGCCATCAGAACACATGCACATAAATCATATTCAATATCGTCGACAAAGTTACGATCTGTAAATCAGTTTGTTGTTTTTTAATTATACTCGCACTAGTCTAGCGAGGTATATTGGAACATTCTTCNTTTTTTCGCATACACATTGCGTTTGTCTGACCACTGGAATTGTATTTTTAATGTTGCAGTGATTACAATTAGAATATTGTCCACCTTATTCCACAGCGCAAAAGTGTCTGTTTCTGCTTTTTGCACACTTCACAATTTACCATGTCCTATCTTAGTTAATCATATCTCAAGAATAATTACCGTTAAAAATCTGTGACATACAAAATTAGTTGGTGGATTATATATAATATTCACATCATTCTCTCGGCAGTTGACCAGAAAGGTAGTTGAATCATTAAAATTCACACAAAGCGTGTTAGGCCTTAAAACAGAAAAGAATTTATTTTCCTTGAAAATCAATCATTTTTGCTTGTGTCATCAGAAGACTGCACATAAATCATATTCAATATCGTCGACAAAGTTACGATCTGTAAATCAGTTTTTTTTTTTATTTTTTTTATTTTTTTTTATTTATTTTTATTTTTTTTTTATTGGGTCGCACTAGTCTAGCGAGGTATATTGGAACATTCTTCACGTTTATTCATCACCTAAGACATTAAGGAAATATGCGTCCTGAAAAAGTCCAAAATATGTCAATTGATAGTATGCAGTCTGTATATTTAAAAAATGAGTTGTCAGTTTCATCTTTTTTAAAGTCATCTGAAAAACGGAAATGTATTTAAAACATACAGCCGCGTTCACTTGGTTTTATCAAACACCGTAACTTCAGGGAAAGACGTCTGGTGTCAACCCGCCCTTATTTTGTCCCGCTTTCTGTTCTTACTTAGAACGCCTTCACAAAACAAACTTCTAGACCAACAGGGAACTAGCGTGAAACGGTTACCCTCTCTTGAAATCGTCCCCACTTTGATAAGTGTAGCAAATGTAGAGGAGGAATTTATGAGGAGTATTTTATTTACCTTAATATTAAAGATGCTAGAATGACAAGATGATATGATTTTGACTTGTAATACTTTATCGCTTGCAGGCCAGAGTAGAGAGAAAGGGAATAAGGTTGCATCTTGAAATTGAAAATCATGGAAGGTTCTGTGCATATTATATGGGCCCTCCCTCTCACCACCTTTGCTCATCTTTTTTGTGGGCGGGGCTTTGTGTCAAAGTGACACATGTCACAGGTGTTTTAATTCTCAAGGTTTTTAACGAAAGAATCACTTGACAGACACGTGGTGGGCGTGTTTGTGGTAAAGGACGGTATACTCAGATAAGATGGGTTCTCCCACGTTGAGATTTACTCTGCGCAATTTCAAAGGCACGGGACGTGATAACAGTATGGCTTTTCCTCTCACAAGTGAATATCATATATAATAAAATTAAGAACTACAAATCGAACAATATACAATAGAAGATATCTGAAAATTGCTCCAGTGAAATATAACCTTAACGTGGATTTTAGAAAAGTCTGTTCTTCCAAAGCAGCACAGTAGGTGGGCCAAAAAGAACAGACACAGTTTCATAATCCCTCGCGAGGATTAGCCCTACTTTTGCCCCCCCCCCCCGCCCTACACACACACACACTCACACACACACACACACACAC